AAGAATAATATGAGACTAGTAATTATTTGTTATCAATAAGTATACTGTGATAATTATCCTTCAACCTGCTTACTAATTCTCCCCTGACTCTTGCAAAAATAGCCGCTATTAGACTCAAGAAGATTATGCTTAGAAAGCATGTTCCTTTAAATTCTATATATATTATAAAGTACTCAACAAGAACATCGAGCACATTCTCCACGAAAGATTTTATGATGAACCATGAGTAAAATTATCACCTAGCCTGTTTCCCTATCAGTAATTATTAATATTAGAGACTCGTGACCTATATACTCCAGCATCAGGCCAGAAAGCTTCGATAAGAAAGGCCAGCAACAAGCCCAAACTTAGGGATGATAGCTCTCCCTACTTAATCACTTTATAATCTGCTCGTAAATATTTCAAATGCAATATTAGAAGATGCACTGAAATCTTGAATGCCTCTCCTGCCCTTCTAGAGAGAGAAGTGTGTCCTTCAAGCTGCACAGAGCTAGCAAAATAGAGCCTTACCTCTCCAATAATAATCCCCGCCTGACCTGTTACTTTAGGCACCAAATTTACGCTGCGATAGCCTTATCAAGAGGTCATCTTCAGATGCACCCTCTAGTACCGGCTTCCAGACTGAGCTGTTGACATAGTATACCATTCTCCTACGTGATGAATATATATCCCTGTTGACAAACGAGCAAGGTCCTGTGAGGTGCAATAGTAAGTGTGTTATCCAGACAGCATCTCGGGCGGTAGGGTGTCCACATCACGGAATATTATGTGGATGAACTAGCCTGGACCTGGGTTTCTTGGCTGTCTGTATCCTTTCAAGCCGCCTGGTGCATATTATCACCAACAAGATCGCGACGCTACAGTTACCTACTTAGAGATGTTTTATGTGGCGTTAGGTGCTATCATGGTGTCCAGACCTGCGACATCCCTGGACCTACGGCGTTACACTTTTACATTCTGAGCCCAGATTTGACAGCATGACAGCCTTAAATCATTATGCAAGATACACAGGACAATATACACTTCCAGTAGAAGATGAAGTAGGGCTGTCGCCATGAATCTATCATAGTTTCACGTTGGCAACCCGAGTATTGGACTTCAACGAAGGCCTAAGCGTTCCCGTATTATCACTATTTCTCGCATTAGATGGAAGATATTAATCAGGTGTGGAGTATGTATATAAGGATCAGTCACTGACTGGGCACTTTTGTATCGATGTAAGCGATGTTTCATTTTCAATATTGAAGTTGAAGTAAGGAGTTCTAACTATTCAGAGCCAGCAACAATATCTCCCTGCTCGACAATACTGACACTCCAGAGGCACAATCGGTTGGGAATGTGGGCGTCTATTCATCATGAGTGGAAAATTGTCTCCGTTAGTTTGTGGATGAGATTCGTAATTGCCAGTCGTAATTGCAGGAAGATGCCACACTCTTTATTGCTAAGAACACAGTTCGGAAGAAATGATGCCATAGTGTTGCAGTCTCCAAATGAATAGGCGACACCACCTTCCAACAAGTACAGTTTACTGCTATCTGATCGGCCACGGAGAATTCAGAGCCTTGTTTCTTATTAACAATTAATCGCAGACACTATTATTTGTGGTCGTGTTCATGGTCATGGTCTTGTTTGTCTGGCCGCCCATTGATCCAATCCGAGTGCAACGCCACTCCAGCTCCCGTGGTAACCTCATCCAGGCCTTCTTCATGTTCTAGTACAGCCCTCAGACAGTGTTCGATATGCCCCACATTGTTATATCTTCCCTCTATTGTTGTTCCCAGCTCTTGCGACAAGAACATTTTCTTCCAGTAATACATACAATGCATTAAATGCCACCTGCGGGTCGTGAAAAAGACGTTTTTTGCTTCTCCACCCCCTGCCCTCGTATCAGGAAGCAGAGACACTTCTTCCAGTGACAGCGGTCGCGTCATGTTCAGATCAGCAAAGTAAGGCCAGCTTCCATCCGGATTTGATCCAGCCTCTTCAAAGGCCAGGGTGAGGTTGTCGTTCCGGCAAGATGGAGGAAGCCACGCCGCAGCTAAAGAATCATACTTGCAGTTGTTTGAGAGGGCCTCGGTTATGGTGTCTCCGCAATTACAGGAAATATCTGGCTCGTTTTGTGTGTTTGCATGGATATGGATGTAGTTCGTAGTGTAAATCCTACTGAATGCTTGGTAACACAGATCAATGACCCCAAGTGTGGCAAGAAGAAGAAGTATAATGGTCGAGATCCCTTCCACCTTCAGATACCTAAACCTCCGCTTAGGCGTATCCTTCACAATAGGAAGTGATTCGAAGCTTGAGCGCTCAGCAATTTGTTCGTACATCATGTGATTATTCGGTATATCGCAGGAACGGGAAGGCATTTAGGCAGCTTAAAGAAAGAAATGTGAGATGACTTGATGGCGAGCTTACTTCCTCGATCTAATTCTCTTCACGAGAAGTATATATAGGAGATGAAGACCCCCGAACGTATGTACATTGTAGATCCTGCACCCTTTGTGGTACTTGACGACGTGTACACGCATTGACGCTATTGGGGGCGTCTCATGGCTATAGGCACCTGGTGACAAAATTTTATGTTAATCTAGAGTTCGGATGCCGTGCCTGGGCCAGCCTGTGATTGTGAATTAGTCTGCATTCACCCCCTACCATATCGCAGAACTGATCTCTATTCGCGGCTTGCGAGAACAAGTCTATAGCTCGAATCCAAGGCCACTACTCGGTGATGTTCGGGCGAAGGAATCCGACTTGGCTGGTAGCCCGGGCCTTTTCCTTTTGCTGTTTAGATGCCACATCGATAGTCCCGTCTAGGTGGGAAGAAGGCCAATCACCAGTACATGTAAGTAGGACAAGCCAGTATACTAATGCATAATCTCATATTTTTTCGAATTCCACCGAAACAGATACAGGCAGTGATACGCTTGAGGAGATCCTCCGCTTTGGTAGTTCTGCTTCACCAACCATCTAACTTCTTCCGTTGTCATTGCTAGCCGGAAAGTTGAAGGGCCCAGCTGCTCGAGACACGGCCATACGGTTCACTATAATGGAGCGCAATATATTTTAATATAACTTTGACATCTTCGGTAAGATGGGGTTGTATCAGGTGTGGTCTCCCGGTTTCTGAGAGTCCCATGTTGGACAAGGCACGAGCCAGAAGATCCATGAGCAGACAAGCCGCTTTTCCTTTTCGGTACTAATATGACACAGGATTATGTGTTATTCTATTAGGCATGCATGAGCTATCGTTTATGTGAGCCTAAGCACATGGACTATTTGTGTGGCAAAAAGCCGGGATTTGGGTGGCCTGTAGATCTTTCCTCTTCAATGCTTCTGTGTGGTGGGTGGGTCGGCATCTGGACTTCCGTAATACCGACTACACATGTTAGAACATTCATGTTCGGGCTTACAGCTCGGCGTGGTCTGAAATAAACTCCGCGTGGTCTAATACTAAATACAGAATAATTCTTTTCTATCTTAACCACGATGAGGACTTTATTTTTCATAAAAATTATATATTTTCAGTATACTAAAAATATGCATATATTAAAACTAAGCTTAAGAATATTATAAAGAAAGATTCCTTAATGAATTATTTTAATAAACACCCTAAATACTCTAAAATCCCTAAATATCCTAATAATTCTGATATATAGCTTATTATAGGCTCATCATGGTTTAAAACTAAGATTCTTGACTATGATGAGCTTTTGCCAAGAACAGGCTCGGCGTGGTCTGAAGGAGGCGGTGAGATGACTGGCAGAATGTTAGACCACACTCACCTTTTTTCAGACCATGATGAGCTGCGACCCGTTCATGTTCTGGAGGTGCAGATCAAGGACCATGCCATTTGCCAATAGCCCTATTAACAAAATCATACTAGTCGAGCTCGTTGTGACTACTGATAGCCAGCATATCTCTGAGCTGCTCAGAGGCTGTTAATTGCTTATTCCGAGGAGGTCCAATGTCGCGTCTTAGCCATGGAGCATCATGGGGACAAAAATGGCAATGAAGGATACCAAAACAGTTCAGATAAATATGCAATATATATACCTAGTCACATGTATTCCAGGAGAGTAACGTTGTCCTTTCTGGTCGTCGACAAGATATTGTTGGATAGGGAGCCCGGATTCAGTTTATGACGCCACATTACTACCGATTATGGAATCAGTCAATATGATAACAAATTAGTAGTATGATTGGCGCCATGTATGTATTTATTTTGTGCATTATCACACATTACCACACTTTGCCTCTAAAGACGAACGTGCTTTTCCTGGGGCTGAACGCGGCCGAGAGGATCACCGGCTACCCGTGAGATTTTAGCTCATCTTAGTTCTCCTCGGCGGGTGTAAGATCCGGCAGAAACTAGTCCCCACTCCAGGACATGCTACTTGCAGGTTGAGTGGAGAGCAATGATTGCCTTCGTCAGATTTAGTTGGTCTGAATTGCTTGTTTTCCTCGATGAGGTTGGCACGAATCAGGCAGTTCTTGATCCGTTGGCATTTCGAAGCCGAACCCCTCCCGGGGATCCCCTCTCGTTACCACAGCCGCTTCAGCACAATCAACTCGGTCTTCTTCGCTCATCAAGCATCCAAGAGTATTATTGCATACGTAAGGCTCCGGACATGGCGCTTTACCTTGCCTTGCGAAATGCCGCGGAGTTCGGGCTATCTCCCGCCTCATGTGAGACCGACCCTTTGCCTAGCTATGCGGGGAGAGCTCTCGAATCGTCTACCTGCCTGTTGAATGTAGAACAAGCTCTCTTGAATTGAGTGATATTGCTGTAGGTTGATCAACATGAGCTGAAGGATAGTTGCCTCGCACACATTACCCGATAGTGACATTGGTCACAAAGCAAAAGAAAAGGAATATCTCGATAGACACGAGGTATAAAAAACGAGCGATTCCTCTTCAAATCCAATATCTCCATCACGGAATTACACCAGAAGCTCAAATCCTACTTCCCAAAAAAAACTCCAGAAATCAAACGGTTCACTATGAAGACCTCTTTGGCCACTGCATTTATTCTCTTTACTTCGGTGCTGGCAGCGCCTGTCCCCAAGGTAAGACCATGCATACTCAAATCTATATGTAGTGACTGATTATAAAACAAGGGTAACGCCAACAATGAAAATGCCAATGCGAAGGTCGACATCCCCACTGGTCCCGGCCCCGTGTGCACCGATACCGAGATATGTCCGTATGAGGTCAGTGACAGTCAGTATGCACGCCGCCAGGAGCCTATCCCCGCCCATGCCCAGGGATCTCTGATCGGAGGTGGACTTGGACGGCGTCAGGAGCCTATCCCTGCCCATGCCCAGGGATCTCTGCTTGGAGGTGGACTTGGACGGCGTCAGGAGCCTATCCCTGCCCATGCCCAGGGATCTCTGCTTGGAGGTGGACTTGGACGGCGTCAGGAGCCTATCCCTGCCCATGCCCAGGGATCTCTGCTTGGAGGTGGACTTGGACGGCGTCAGGAGCCTATTCCCACTGACGCCATCATTTCGCTGACTGGCGGTGGCCTCAAGCGGCGTGGCGATGAGGATGTCCCGGCTGAAGTCCTGGCCTCCCTGCTTGGGCGCCGTCAGGAGCCTATCCCCACTGATGCCATCATTTCGCTGACTGGCGGTGGTCTGAAGAGAAGTGAGGAGGATGTTATGGACTCGTACTAAATATGCCATATGGTATTCAGGATGTCGTTGTGCTCCCCAAAACATGCCCCTAGGTTTGGAATCTCTTGCTTTTATTCCCTTTTCCGAAGCATTCAACATGTGGAAAAGTGGGAAACAGGAAATTAGGGTGAAGTCAGTAGGGTGCACGAATGGTGTGTTTTTTATTGATGCAGTTGAGGGCATTGGGTTGTGTGAGCCGAGATAACTAGTCTGCTTTTCATTCATACTATTGTGTTTCTTTCACGTGGAGACCTAGCTTGCCTCTGAACTCACAGAAATAAGCAATAATAGTCGAGCTAGAACATATACTTCACTTATCTGCTGTGGGACTTAAAATTTCTTATTTCCCATGACATGTATCCCATATGCACACGAAATTAGCCACTGTTTCGCTGGACTAAGTCTGCCTTCTGTAGGACATGAAGGGCAGTGACTCGGTTGTCGCTCATTCAGCGGCTGTCTGACAGACTGGTGGCAAAATGGTTTGTTGATGGTGGTAAGCAAAGCTAGAATCCCAGGACCATTACGATACAATTCGCGACAGTCAACAAACTCGCGCTCGGATCACCACTCGGCCGATCGGAGAGGGATTCACTGCAGCACTACATTCGTAAACCTCGACATTATTTCAGTTTTCAATCCATCGGAGTATGTATCATCGAGTGTCCTATGACATTGTTTCGCTTTTGGCGAATGGATGATCTGTGAATTCTGCCTCAATAGCACTCAATCTCCCTGCCTGCCAACTCGCTATTTTGCCTGCAATTGGATTGTCCCCTCGCCAGCAGAGCAGAACCTCTGATAAATATTTAGGTCATATTGTATCATTGGCTTGCAAGCTTTTCGATCAAGAGGGATATATCAGCCGCTTTCTCTTCCATGGGGTAGTGGCCTCCTCCAGAAAGCCATATGCCCTGTGGCGCCCATTCAACCATATGTGCCGGATGGATGCAATCGACGAGGATGTCCTTGTACAGCTTCAAGAGCGGGTCTTGCTCTCCGAACACCACCGAAACGTCTGGGTTACCCTTTCCGAGGCACGCTCTCCAGCTCTGTCGGACCTCTTCCCCGCGCTTTGCCAGTCTGGCCTGTTGACTTAGGTTGTCAAAATGACGCGGTCCGCAGAGACCCTCCAACAATTTCCAGATCCGCGTCTGTCGGAGGCCATGTAAGGCAAAGCGCGGTGTAACCGGGACAATATGCCCAAACCGGAAGACACTGGCCTTGGTGGCTACTGGGAGAGATCGATATGGCGCACTGTATCCATCGATCTCGAATTGCGACAAGTGTGGGGACATGAAACGCATCACTCCCCACTCGGGCATATAGCCGCCCAGGAGGCCCGTCGAAAGAAACCAGATGGCATAGAGTAAGCTGTAGTGAAGGTTCCATTCTTCCGGACGCGGTGGCAGAAAGGAGTTCAGGAGAAGGAGGCAAGTGCAGGCCATCTGAGGCAGCTGCGGGATTGCGCACAATGCCACGCACCTGGAGACAGTGAGCCATGGACGGAGACAGCAAGAGATCCTAGCGAAATCAACGACGTACCCACCCCAGTCATGCGCGACGATGACTGCATGGCGGAGATTGTAGACCTTGAACAACTGCATAAGCGTGTGAATATGCAGTTCAAAGGTAACCGATTCGGGATGGGTCGGCTTGTCACTGCGACCGTGCCCGAGCCAGTCGAGCGCATAGACTTCATGACCTTGGTCCAGCAGATGAGGAAGGATCTGCTGGGGTCAGCCATACTCTGATCTAAAGATTGATCTTTGACATCTATACATTTCTCCAAATATAGCTCCAGCTCGGATTCCCATGCAGGAAGATGATCGGGCGCCTGCGGCCTGCGGGACCGTCGAGTGTTGGTTTCTGATGCATGAAGCGGACAGTGGCTCCACAGATGGCCATCTCCACCATGCAATCAGCCCAGGGGAAGTCGGGCATCCATCCTGGTCCCTGAGGACGGACTCGATACAAATTGGACTCGCTGAAGCGATATGTGCCTTGGCACTGGGCGATGGCCAGAGACTCACATTGACCCCGGTACTCTTCTGCCTCTCGGATGAGCCTGTTCCTCCCTTGACTGGAGAACAGGCTGAGGAAGTTCCGAACCACTGTGGGGATGATAGTGCATGACAGCTTCCCAAGATAGAGTGGCAAGAGACTGCCAAATAGAATGAGCCGACAAACGGTAAAGGACATAACGATTGTAGCGGCGTAGCCATAGGAGGTCATGAGAATGGTCAGCACTTCCTGTGCCAGGTTGCTGCCGACGTGCAGCGTGAGCAGCGACATGATAAAACAGTAATCATGCACGATCGTTTGTATAATAAGAATCGGTGTTCATACTTTCTGCATCAGACTTATATTTCGGGAAAGGGGCGGGGTGGTCGGTCGGTCGAGGCTGACGGAGGACTGACTTCATCCGTGAATGTATAATTCCCTGTTATTATAGTCACGAGGGTCTCCCTCATCAGTACTTATCATTCATTTTTGACTGCAACGAGACTGTTCTTATCCCGGACAACGAGAAGCTGCTCTCTCCAGTCGCTGGACCGGTTGGGAATGCGGAGAATCAGGCCGCGGTCGGCAATCCCTTGAGACAATAAAATATTATGATTCCCTGCTTGTCCAACATACAAACGACAACCATGATTTTTTGCCTTGTTTATCTCATTAATAAGCCTTATTGGTAATATTATGCTGACTTGGCGGGCTGCCTTGTTCGTTTCTGCTCTGCTTCTTGTTCTTCTCCTACAAACCTACTTTATCTTTTTTTCATGTTTGTTTTTGCCCTTTTGCTTTTTCTATTCGGCGACCGGGTCGCATCTTTAAATCCAAACTCATAACAAGAAAGTTATAGTTTCAAGCTTACTTTCATAGCCAACTTTATTCTTACTTTTCTCTGACTCATCTACCATGTTGTTAGACTGTGCTTCCACGCCACACCATTAGACCATACCTTAACCTGTGCCCATCAGTCCTTTAACCGACAGTACCTCTTAACATCAACAGCAATCAATACTATATCCGTTTACTCCTCCACATCGTTGACAGACCCTATCACTTGATCCAAGTCCTCCGCCGCGGTCTTAGGTCCCCGTTTGATGGCCTCCATCACCCAGTCACCGCGAGGCTTCAGCCGCATCCTTAGCTCTTTGGGCATCGTCATGAAACCCACGACAGTCATGGTCCATGGATCCATCTCTTCCCCTTCCACCGGCATAATATCAAACGCCCACAACAAGTTGGCTACCTGCAGCAAGGCCCCATCTGTAGCAATTCTCTTGCCCTGGCAGATGCGTCAACCCTGCCCAAACACGGGCTGCGGGAGGTCGGACCGTCGCTGAGCCTCTGCGTTGATGGGTAAAAGTCTCCATCCCACCTTGGATAGATGTGGCCAGAGTGAATGCAAGGTCCAGACCTGGTACCGCCATGTTCTTCTCGGTCGTTGCAAGGGCTTGCTTTGTGGGGTTCCAACTGTCTGAGTCCCTCCCCCAATGAGATAGACGTGTGTAGAGGTCCGATTGGGTTGCGAAGAGCTCATCGGCGGCACGTTTCAGGGAGGTAGAAATTAGGCAGTTGGCGCAAGGTTGGAATAAGATCTGGTAGGCCGGGATTAGCAGCCAGATGGGTCACTTGGGCCTGGGTGCCGATGATCTTCTGCAGAAGTTCGTCTTCGGGGGGTGGAGGATTCGCAGGCCGTAATGTAACCCTAGAATAATACTCGACTGGGTGCGTTCCAGGTGGAGATAGATCGTTGCTGTGCTGATGGTGGCGCCATCAGGGCATCCGTGGAGAGCATCAGACAGGTCACAGAGCAACTGTTTGTTCTCTGGTTCCATTAACGGCTGATATCTCGGCGCCGCGAGGGGCCCCGAGACTGGGAGCTAGCAGTCTGTGAATGCAGCCTGAGGTGATCATCGTAGTCATGCATCAGAGTGAACCGAGACTGTCCGGGCTCTGCTCCGGTAATTATCTCCATCGTCGCCGAACGCGGCCGGTTGCTATACCACTGGCTGCGGCGACTTGACAATTCAGTGACCGCCTCGTAAGAGTTGAGTATCACGACTGGGGCGATCCCAAATAGCCTGGAAACGGTGATGGGCCCATTTCGCCGCGCCCAGTCGTCCCAGTTGGCGAGGGGCTTATCGATCGGAGAGCTATGAAGATCACCGATCAGCGGGAGCTTGAGAGGTGGCCGCTTCTCATCAGGTTCTGCTCGTCTGCTGGGCTGATGCTGGGTGATCATGTATAGCAGAGTCATCAGACCAATGCCGAAGACCACTACGATGGGTAGGTTGGCAATCATTCTGGCGAATATAGTGCTGCGTAATATCAATCGCTCACGATGTTCAGATAGGACGGATAACAGACACTGCACTGCTTTGGTCCCCGCCAAAGGGTCCGTGAGCCAAAACGAATGGAGGTAGTAATTGAAGGGCCTCTCCCCTTTGCCCTTCAGAACTTCAGGATGCCCACCAATGGAATCAGCACGGCGCACCGGCTGTCTTGGCGCGGTCACATTTAGTCAGGATCTCTCCATCTCCACACTTTCAATTCATTGACCCCTTTACATTTCGGAACTTTATCTCCTCTGCGACTAGAACACATTTGAATAGTTATGCACTGGATCATTAATCAAATAAAATCTCAAGTATATTATCATGTCAAGTGTGAAGGGTGACTAATTTGACTACTACGATACTATGGTACAGATAGTCAATGTCGTACAATACGATCGGCTGGCTATATTTCTTGTTCCAACCCCCTCGGATGCCTCAACAGCAGATCCAAGCACGTTGGAAAGCGTGGAAACGCTCAGACCTTTGCTGTGGCAGTGGCCGGAGTGGCCGAAGACAACACAGAGCACGAATCCGACCGCTTCTGCGCACTGCCTTGCGAAGCTTCCCAGATGGGGCCACTGGCCTTGCCCCCATACCAGACCTGCCAGGTGGGACTCGCACAGCTGCCGTGATATTGGAAGAGAAATTTACCCTCACCATAGGTAATGTCGCTGCTCATGGCTTCATCGCTGTCATCTTTGGACTTGATTGTTTCGTAGTCATATTCCGTGGGTTCCGCTGACAAGCCCAGGACCGAGTTGACCTGCGCAGCGATGCGTTTCACTTGCTCTGGATACCGTGGAGCCTGTTTACCCGTCCGGGCTAAAGGGGTTCCAATGTAAACCTTGGTGTCGGGGCTCGAATACTTGGACGACCCAGTTAAGCGCTCGTCCTTGAGATTTGCATCGGAGGCCAGATAATCCAGGATCTTGGTCTTGAATGTCTCTTCATCCAAGACCGCTCGACCTTCCTTGACAACAACAAATCCCGGCTTTTGCCACAGATGGGCCTGATAGACGGCATATTTCGACACAACAACTATGACCGTACAGCCTCGGATATTGATCTGGCTGAAGTTGAACGGATCATCACCAAAACCTATGATTTCCGAGGTAGATTTCATGTTCGAACTATCCTTCGCCAGCAGCTTCCCCTTTCTCATCTCCGTTTGCATCCATTCCAAGTATGATGAGAGCCTACGTATCAGGCTCCTATGACCAGGACGCTTGGTAGAACCAAAAGAGGCATCGATATCATTGGACAAACAGCTGGAACAGTCCGTTCCACAGAGCACTTCGGTTGCGGACGCAGATGCAGACGATGAAGTGGAAGTCTGGGAGTGGGATGATTGCTTTGTGGTTGGTGTGACTGTATCCTTGGTAGCCTTGCTCGTTGAGGCGGAGTCTGAGTGGCCATGAGTCTTGGTGGTGTGAGTACTGGTGACGCCGGTGGATTTTCCCTTCGTGGATGTACGTGTGGAAGTATGATGGTCCTCCTCGTTACTCGATGTTTTCGAGGTGGAATCGGCCGGCTTCGGGGTGGCAGGCTGCTCACTTTTCGAGGTCTCTTTTTCCTTGGTACTAGTAGTAGACTTCTGTTTCGTTGTTGTGGTAGTGGTAGCTTTGTGCGCCTTGGTCGTGGTAGTAGTCGAGATGGTCTCCTTCGTGGTGGTTTTGGTTGTCTTAGTGGTCTTCTTTTTCGTTTTCGTCTTCGTCTTGGTCTCTCTCGAGTGATGATTATGACCTCCTTTGCCATGACCACTGCTTCCCTTGTGGCTGCGAAGGTGCAGCTGATTGACATCCACTTCAGTTGAAGTCTCACCATCGTCCTCATCTTCCTTTCTGTTGCCATCGCCATTGTCAACCGCCACTGCCGGAGGTTCCGCCGCGTAGAAGGACGGGATGTTCTCCACAGCAGAAGTAACTGATGTTATAGTAGGAGCAGAGGCTCTCAGGGCGCTCCCATTTTGCTCGACTGAACCGGAGCCAGCAATAACTCCACTAGCCCACAGGGCAAGAAGCAAAGCCTGTTTCAAGCCAACCACCATTGTAGAAGAGAATTAGGAATGAATGACTGTGGTTGTTTAAAAGGGCCACTGGCTGGAAGAATCTGCTTTTATATTGTGATTTGGTGCCGTCTGTACGCGCGGGATTTTACACGCAGATACCACATTCAACTATGCATTTCCTGCCCCCACGAGAGGGGTGCGGAATCGGTGGAAGGAAGACCTGGCGTCACACTTTGAGATGCAGCGTAGGAAGTGGACCAAAAAGTCCTTCATTATACTGACTGGCCACTCGACCAGCGACATGGCCTATATTGCTCTTTGGCCCCCAGAAGCATGCTTAACCACATCTTGCCTGGAATCTTTGCCTACATGCCGAAAGGTCCATGGCTGTAGCTGCTGCAGCCCCCACGCCTAGCTTCTCCACCGCAACATCCACCGCCCCCCCCCCCCCCCGGGCCTTCATCGGCCGCCGCTCACGGATTTGACAAACCCAACAAAGCCTCACTCCCTCACCCTCCTCACCATCATTCCAAAAATCAGTTACATTTGTTTAATCACGCACAATGTCACTTCCATTTCAGGTGCTGGAGGAGGTTCATCAGCCCTTCCTGGAGAGCTGCCGTCATGGTGACTTGGCCCAAGTTAAGAAACATCAGGAGGCCAAGGCTCTAGACCGAGAGGTTCTGACCATGGGCTTGAGGGAAGCTGCCCAGGGCGATCACATCGACACTATGCGCCATCTACTAAACGCTGGCGCCAAGCCCCAGTCTCCCAGCGTCGTGGATGAAGTACACTCGGCTGAGGCAGTCAAGGCCTTGCTAGACCACGGACTCACTTTTGAGACTCGGCTACATCCCCTTAATACAGTGCCACTTGTGTGGGTATCCTTTGCTTGCCTGTTGGTGATCACATGGACTAACCAAAAGAACAGACACATTGTGAAGAAGAACGACCAACGGCTCGTTCACTGGTGCCTTGAACAAGGTGCCGACCCCACCTTCGGCTGCCCGAATGCCCAGTCATTCAATGACCTTGAGAAGCCAGATCGGTCCCCTACGAAGGGCTCAGGGGCAGTCCTTGGTATGGCGTCCCGTCGAAGTAGCCCATTGATTGTTGACCTCCTTCTTGAACACGGTGCCAATATCCGCACCAGTAATGTGTTACATTATGCTGCATGTAGGAAGGATGGACGAGCCATACCAATCATGGAGCACCTGCTACAGCGTGGGGCCGACGTGAACGAATTCGGCTATCCTGCATTCCTACATTTCGGCGGCACTCCCCTTCATGCGGCCAGCTACCAAGGAAATCTCCCGGCCGTGAACTGGCTCCTGGAGCATGGTGCAAACCCCGGCGTGGAAGACGCCCAAGGTAGTAAGCCGCTTGATCTGGCAGCTTTAGAAGAGGAAGACGAAATATGTGATGTTCTCTATGAATGGACGCGTTTAGGCCACACTGGAAAGGCTGACTGCGGTAGTTCGGATTAGCCAAAAGCGAAACAGTTCCAGGGCATGACAGGGTCACCCCTTATTGGCTTAGGGTCTGTGGGGGACAAGGAACAAAGGACCAATCCCCCCCTGCTCATGTGCGCATCGCTGTATCTAGTTCTTATACATCCCCACTCTACAACAATTCAACACCTTCAGCGCCGATATTGGAACGCAGTGACGGCGTTTAGGTACCACAATATCACGAATGACTTCGATTTTCCAGTAGCTCGGCTTACTCCTACTCGATTGTCTGTACTTAGGTTCTTCCCGTGCTGCTACAAAATGTACGTGAGATACTAGTGCTGAATAAGGATGTCCTCCTAAGGACATAAGTTGTAGCTAAGCAGCACCCAGATTCTCTAGCCTCGTTCGGCCGGAACGCGGGTATATTTGCAACCACTAGTACACTTTCGCGTCTGCCTGGAGTTAGTGCTGACTTCAGCCCCGCAATCAAGCTTTCTCAGCCCTGCCAGCCGACTCGCTCGACCTTCTGCTTCGGGTGAAGGGTTCCTTGATGGTCACATTTCCAGCCTGGAGATTAGCCGACTGGACAAATCAGGTTGTGGTTGATACCGCCCCCATGTTGCATCACCCACCACGCTTCACTGGGATGAACCACGCCAGCGACAATGCTGGAACAGCAACTCCACGTTTGTTCGGGATAAATTTAGTGTCACAAGTCAATTATTTATGCATATGTTCTGCTGGGTGGGGTCTAAGTTAGACAAACCTGGAACTTGTGGGCGTTGCTGCAATCACTCACCATGACCCACGGAGGAGAAGTTAGGTCAACTACGGGGCATAGCTCCATCATCATCGAAAGGATGCTGGTATAAGTTACATACGGATAGTATGAACGCTCTTGCGTCTTTGCCGGTGACATTAGAGTAAGATTGCATCTATTTTGTGGTTTCCCATCGCTGTCATTGTCATGCCGGGGTCTTGCCATAACACCCCATGTGAGTAATGCAGTCTCTCTTACCTACCAATATCGCCCTTACATGACATGAAGATGGCAAGCTGCAGGCTAACAATGTTCCTCATAGATCTTATAGTATCGACCGATAGTGATCAATTAAAATACGATTTGTCGGGACGGCAGTCTAGGATATCCCGTGTCAGGATCGTTGAGTTGCGCTGCTGCCTGAGGCCACAATATCATTGTGTGGGTGAAACAAGCCAGCGATTGATGATTATGCCCATCTCTTGCTGGGGGCCCATCACTTTATCAAATAACTGATAGTGATGCTGGATACATTTTAGCTGATAGAGGGTTGTTTAAGAAGTGCTAGCAGGCTGAATGCTAAACCACATAGTATGTTAAGGAACCAGAAGTGACGCTACACACCTCTAGAGTCACTTTTTCCCTGGGGTCTTCTGCTGATATCATAGTGGTATTAACGATTCCCACGCGATGATGATGCTTTTCTCTTCTGGGTGTGGGGTCAAGGTAGATGGTGGTTGCGACGCTTCAATGATCGCCGTGTGCCTCCAAGGTACTTCCAAGGACCCTGTTGCATCCATCTCGCTCCCTTTAAAGCATACGCGACCGCGCCTGGCCGTGACCCTTTCTCCTTGTACCCCAAAAGAATGAACGCAATGTTAGAGTCTATTTCAGAGCAGATGATGTGCAAGCCTTCCCGTTTATCTACTCTTCCGTTGGAGATGGTTGAGAGGATTTGCCACGAGCTTGCTACGCAAGATTTGGCCGCGCTCCGAGGGACTTGCCGTGCCGCTCATCACCTCACCAACCGGTGTTTTGCGCAACGGTACGCGGAGTACTACACAGACTTCTCCGCACACTCTTTAAACCACTTGCATGCGCTGGCCGAGAACCAGCTGATACGAGGTTATATTCAACACCTGGTAATCCTGAGTCCGGAGCCGAGACTGGGGGAGAACATGGACTGGCACTGGACGGCTGCTGGCCACCTCCGATGTCCCCTAGACATGCCCTTGATCCGGCGGCTGCGGGATGATCTGACACAGAAATTGGTGAACTGCCGATCTTTTATCCTATCGCCCATTTTGTCACAACCCCAAAGTAAGGCGGACCTCCACGACAGCCCGACCTTCAATCCTGACGATGTCGCGTGCATCCTCCTTGACCTCATCGCGGACGCCTCTCTTCCGGTTAAGCTCTTTTGGTATGGCAAGGGCATGAATTACACCTCCAAAGTCATGGACATTGCACGTCTCCCAAAGTCACTCTATAGCAATGCCGCCTTCCAGACGGGCTGGAAGTCCTTGGACAACCTGCACCTAGAGCAGGAACTGACCCCCCAGAACTATACTTTCGTGATGGACATGATTCTCAGTGCGACTGGTCTCCGCAAACTACATCTTGGCCTCGGATACACCGATCTCGCCGTTGAGTTCTTTTCACAATTGAGTGCGTCCATTGCAGCTCTAGATCACCTGGAACGGATCAGTATCTGGGGAACTGCGATGCAAGCTGAAGATCTCGTTCGGCTCCTCTGTAACTCGCGAACAAATCTGAAGAAGCTTAGTCTGCGGTCAGTGACGAGCTTGACGCCGCAGTGGCTAACGTACCTCTGTCAGCATCGTGACCTATTTCCATGTCTGACTACCATTGACTTGAGCATGATCCATGGACCTTCTGGTATGTTGTCTTTTACGCCAATGCAGAACTTGCCTCCGGAGCAGAAGAACATGTTTGAACTTGAGCGTTGTGTCTACGAGGATCTCCCAGACACAGGTGGAAAGGCAGGCGATATAGTCGGTATTTCCTACAGTGGTTCGGATATTCAGACGGCATTGAAAGCGCTGCTAGAAGTGTGTAGCGAGCCTGCTGGTCATCAATGAGGGATGATGGTGGTGTTGTGGCGACGGGGTATATGCATACAAGGATACCCAAAGTGGATTTTTTGTTCAATTTTTTTTCACTGCTTTATTCAAGATGCCATGTCATATATATAAGAACTGAAATAATATACACATACGCCTAGAGTTGTTTTGGGGTCAAGACAGGAAATATTGGTGTCTGAAATGCTCCCAGACGATTGATACTTAGCACCATTATTGGTTACCTGCGCTAGGGATACATTTCCTTTTCCAGGTGATTCTCGAGTGCGGAACACCACGAATAGCGGCATATTAGCATTAGATAGTTTTCCAGGAGATAATCCAGTCAATTCAATTTGTCTACTTCGCTGTGGAACGTCTCCAACAGATACAGCATCGTTTTCGAGCAACATTTGGAGACTGCGGATGACGGTGCAGGGCAAGCCACGCTTCCGACACCGGGCGGCACGGAATGTGCCGATTACTCATCTAAAAATTCATCTATGCCATTACGGACAGAATGCTTTTCTTAATGGTTGGAAGTCAATGCGAAGATGAAAGGCCATGATATTAACGATGGTATACCATCTGCTTGCGGCATGCCACGCAGGTCGTGATGCGACGGGTCCCAGAAGGGCTCCTCGTCAGCGGCGGGAGAGGGCCGAGGCATGTCCATAATGCCATACAGCTGTAGAGATAGTAGAATGAAAACGATATCAATTGCAGCTGACAAGATTATCGCATTTACTGGACAATACTTTCGGCTTTCAGGTCCGAGGAGGCGTATCGCACGACGGCGGCCTGCTGGCTGCTTACACAGAGACGCACGACACTGGAGATAGCTAAATAAGTAGTCGTAATTACATTCATAGTTTGATGTCTAAAAGATCACCTGTTCAAAGGCATGCTGCAATCCGCGGGCCTGTAGCCACGCCTCCAGGGCCTGCATATCCCCCCGGTTGGCTCGCTGCCCGCTGCGTTCTCCCAGGGAATCCGTGATCTCCTCCATCCCCTCAAATACCCGCTGCACCCCTTCCGTCTCGCGAAATCGTTCGCTGACTTTTTTCTGATGACTGGGAATATCCCCCCAGGAATGCGTTTTGATGAAGCTCATGTACGCATCTATATTCTGCGATGTCCCCTCCAGGCACAACACGCCTGGTTTGCCCGCCAACACAAATCCAGTGAGCCCATAACCTGCCGCGTGATGCACCAGGTCATCCCGCTTCTTGCGCGTAGATAGGGAAGGAAAGTAGAACCAAACCCGCACCAGAGGCCCTGATCCTGACTGACTCGGTGGGAGATCCACCGGCTCTGTTGGCTGGGCTTCCAAGAACCGCGTCGCTTCCTCACGAACATGGTCCAAGGCCGTAAAGACGTCGTCCTGCGGCATCGTAGCGGCCAGCGCAGCGACCTCGGCCTTGGACATCCAGTCTGGTTGGCGCAGTGTATACTTCGCCGGTGGTGGCTGATCTAGTGCAGGGCCATCATAGTACAAGGGAATGGAGACATTGACCTGGATTGTCTTCCCGCCGTCCTCCAGCGGCAAACACACTCCCAGCAAGAGGCTGGCAGGGATTCCCATCGGCACGGTCGATGGATCTTGACACCAGTCCCGTAGTTGATCCACACATTGCGATGTAGATTCGGGCAAGTCCAGCTCGCCCGGGCCCGGAAACATGGCCGTGAGAAGATCAATGATAGCCAGCTGGGACTCTATCATATCCGCGGGTAGGAGAGACGATCGTTGTGCCGCCATCGTTGAAGCGATTTCCCACGGCGGTGCTCTCCAAGGGGCGTTATTGGAGGTGTGATACTTGAAAAGAATTGTTTGCGCAGCACATTCAATTCCCAGAGTATGGTGTATTATTCATGTATCTTGTAGACGGATTTCCTCTCTTGGACCTCTCTGTTCACGTTCAGCGATGGTGCGTTTTTCGATGGATCGCCGGTGCCGGCCATCAAAACTGGGGCAAGAAAGGGGGGTCGGCGATTGGCTCTCTCGGGCCGAGTTTCGGGGATACATAACTAACTACATGACATGACTAATCATGCTTCCCAATCAGTCACTTTGTCGATTATTGTGAGCACTCGAATTGTGAAAGTACATCCTAGAGTCACGGCTCCTAGATGAATCTTTGAATGATCATGCTCAGAATAATTTTCTCACACCATTGTTCCCAGTTTGCTTATCTGACATTAACTATTTACGTGATCACCCTTCAAGAGGGCCAGTGTACGACGACGGTCCTTGGCCATCAAGGGTACCCACCAGCATCTCTCACAAGTTGGCTTGATCAGACGAGGCAATCCAGTCATACTTATCCCCCAGGTACTTCTGGGCCCGTAGATCTCCCGAGCGCGCATGGCCCTCAAACTGCTCCGCCCTTGCAGCTCGACCACACAGCCGACCCAGCTCCCCACTGGCGGTGCTACTAGTCACTTCCTGGTAAGTCACCGTGCGCAGATACTTGCCCACCCAAAGACCTCCTGTATACCGCGCTGCCTTTTTGGTGGGTAGGACATGGTTCGTTCCGATGACCTGTTTGAAAAATAGCATACGTTAGAAGCAGCCTTCCAAATTTCCATGTAAGCTTTCCTACGGCGGAATCCAGACCTTATCGCCATACGACACGCATGTCTTTTCCCCCAAGAAAAGCGCTCCATACGCTGTCATCTTCTCTAGTGCCTCACGAGGCCGCTTGGTGAAGATCTGCACATGTTCACTTGCATACTCATCCGCCAGTCGCCACGCCTCGTCGAGGGAGTCCACCAGGATGGCTTCCCCGAACCGGTCCCACGATGTGCCCGCCAGCTCGCGCGTGGATAGATTCGGAAGCAGCTGGTTGATGATGTCGATGGCTGCCCGTCCCACGCGCTCCGAGGTCGTGATGAGCACAGCCGGCGAATCCGGCCCATGTTCAGCTTGTGACAGAAGGTCAGTCGCTACCGTGAATGGATCGGCCGTCTCATCGGCGACGATCAGAATCTCCGTCGGGCCTGCGAAGAGGTCGATGCCCACCTCGCCGAACAACTGCCGCTTCCCCTCCGCGACAAATGCATTTCCCGGTCCCGCGAGGAAGTCCACTTTTCGGATGGTCTCTGTGCCCACCGCCATCGCCGCGATCGCCTGAACCCCGCCAAGCAGATGAATTTCATCGGCTCCAGCCAGATGCATCGCGGCCACCGTGGCATGGGGGATCTGGCCGGCAATTGGGGGAGTACAGCCAACCACATAAGGCACACCAGCCACCTTGGCCGTCAGAATCGTCATGTGGGCGGATGCTAGCAGCGGGTAGCGTCCTCCGGGGATGTACCTGGTGTCATCGATAAGTATAGGGTTCAACAATTAGTAGTTGGGTTATCACGTACGCTCCAACGCTGTTGATGGGAAGATTTTTCTGGCCCAGGTGCACTCCCTTGAACTGGTCAGTGGCGCTTCACAGGCATATGTTTCATTTAGTTTTCACAAGCTGGATAGGCTTACCGGCTGGATCTCATACTCAAAATCGCGAATAGAGTCTCGCTGGGCCTGCGCAAAGGCACGAACGTTCTTCTGCACCTCCTTGATGTCGGCAATCGTTTGGGGCGAACAGGCCGCCAGGGCAGCATCTATATCATTATGGGAGAGTTTGAACGAGGCTGGCGACCAGCGGTCAAATTTCTCCGAGTACTTGCGGACTGCTGCATCTCCATTGGCACGAACGTCGTCGATTACCCCCTTTACAACGCTACTCACGTCCACCTGAGGTGTCGCAGCTGAGTTCGGGGGTTGAGACTTGCTTTTCAAGTATCGGACCGTCATGTTGAAGTCGTATTTTATATTTGATCAAGGTAATCAAGAATATGGAAAGAGACCTACAACTACCATCGGACAATGGCTTGCTTATATGATGAATAGCTACGGTAAGTAATGTTCATACAACTCTATCGGCTCCACTCGGCGGTCCGCAACAGCCTTCGGAAGTCGGCCAGAAGTCCGGGTATAGGTCAGTGCATTACCATCACAAACTAAGCAATTGTCGAAAGTGTGTGATACGAGGAGGAGTAAGGCTGTCGGACTCAGTCGGAGGGCCTGGTAGTTCATGTAATGGCACATGCTTCCGAATTTCTTTTGCGTTTGGTGGTACTCTCACAGATAGTCCGTCACAGAATCCGCGTTCTAAAGGCTTCTTCCACCACGATCTATTTTTGAGGACTACTAACCCATATCGTCTCTTAAGAAGTCTGTTGCCCCTTCCCCACTCATATTGGCATAGATCGCCCCTCTTGGTGATCCTTGTTCCCGTCCCCGTGGGGTGGAGCCGAGGTCCTTCGGCACAGAAGGTACAGCCTTTACTATTTGAGGCGGAACATCAACCCGACATCATTGTGAAGGTTGCTGAACACGATTCCTATGTGTTTCTTCCATTCTGGACAATGGGAGGAAAAGGCACTATTTTCAATTCACGTCACGTGATCTTTAACGTTGAAGTAGGTAATTTTGCATCATCTACAGTTAGCCTGTTCATGCCAATGATGATCCTTTGCGACAAGACATCCTATAATGCCACTTGGCTGTGACATTTGACACGAGCATATGTGCATCTCTATCGTACAAATTAACGGATGAAGCCGTTCTGCTTGTGGGTGATTTTTCTGTTTCAGATAGCTTTATGCCAAGGGTGTGACATACAAACATCCTCATTTCATTGACTACAAGCTTCCGTAAAGTTGGGTGAGGGAAATTACGCAAGTATACCACTCAAAGTACCGCTCTATCTCAGCATCAAATGGTGCTCATAAACATTTTCACAGTGACTCCATAGGCACGCCGACTTGCATGGCGTGGCAAATATAAATAGAGAAGATGAGTTAATCTGCTACCATAGTCTAACCTTGGCATGCTCCACATTTTAGACTAGTTACATGACTTCATGGGTTACAGAAGATCGGCATTCCCCAAATGTGTCAGGCACGGGTCACTTTCGACCTGTCGTGAATCCCGGGGTAACACTTTTCTCCATGTACACGACACCTTCGCATCGTCTTTTGGCATGCATCGTCATACTGGCCATAACCACAATTTCCCATTGATCTTACCAGGGTGCTCTAGCCGGCATCATGCTGCTAAGCTTGCCAGAAAGGGCAGGCTAGGCGGTTTATGAGAAGGCCTCGGCCTTATCTAGGGCTCACACACCGCTGACCCTTCCATGACTTTGTGACCATGTCCAACGTGTTAAAGTTGATATAGAGAAGATCGTTGCCGGTCACACTCTCTGCTATGCTGACATCGCCCGATGCCCGATATTATAACGCATCGATCTGAGTTATGCCTTTTTCCCTAAATCTTATAATTTGCTCGAAGAGGAACAGATACTGATGAACAATGAGCTGTCTCCGCAATATGTGAAGCGAATGTGGCCGGTAATTGTAACCAATAGCAGTACTTCTGCTATAATTATAAGCCTATCGTTCAACTCGTGAGGTAGTGAACATATATCTTGGACTCTGCTTTTTAAACTTCAGGGGCTGTCCGCATGCAAACTACTGAGTTCGGTGGATACTGCTAGTGATCTTTGCCTATCATATAAGAGATATGACACGAATATCTCAAATCACATTAAGCTGTCTGGCTTGTCCACTGTATCTCGAATACCTTATCTTCCCGTTTCCCTATCTTCCGCTGATTATTTCTCGGCAGTTCCTCGGATGGGAGCCGGGCACGTGCTTGATGACCGTCATGTGACTACAGAAGAGGCTCCGGCTCACCGACCAATCGGAAGGGCGGGAAAGCAAACTTACGCAAAAGAAACCCCTCACGGGCCGACGAACCCCTCACCCCTCATGAGGGGACAAGCCCTAAACTGGTTAAACTTGGCCCGAGTTATCTAATTTATACTGTTAGCAGTTAGATCTGGCCCAGCGGATGTCGAGCTGTCACCAACCGTCGGGTCCTAGATACGGCCTCATCCACTTTTGGCGCTAAAGGGCGGCCGGGAGGGAAAATTTTTATCTTGGGGGCTTTTCGGCGTCAGGATGTTTCTTTTTATTTCTGTCTTCAGTGACTCTTTTCTTCCTCTTCTCGTGTGCACCGTAAACCCCATCCCTCAGAGCCGGCTCTGTGGACATCTTCTTTGACCCCCTTTGGATCCTCCTCGCGGATAGCTTTACTAGCGCATCCTCCCTTATTCCCGGAAACTTTAATCTCACGTCCATCATCATGTCCAAGCCCGTCTACACCCTTGCCGAGGGTAGGTGACACGTATCCTTTCTCTGATCTGTCCAATGTCTCCTCTAACAATGTGCCTCCAGGTCAACCCCTGCCCAACCCCTCCGTCAGCACCACCCTGCCGACCTTTGGCGGCGGTGCCATCACCACCTTGGGTGATACCTTGCTGATCGAGACGTTGACCCATTTCAACCGGGAGCGGATTCCGGAGAGGTACGGCCGCCCTTCCGGCTGACCCACCGCTCATCGGCACTTTCGTCCACTAACCTCGTCAATTCATTCAACAGAGTTGTTCACGCCAAGGGTAATGGTGCCTGGGGTGAATTCCGCGTCACCAAGGACATGTCCCACCTCACCCACGCCAAGTTCCTCAACGGAGTTGGCAAGACCACCAAGGTGCTTTTCCGCGCCAGTACCACCGGTGGTGAGAAGGGTAGCGCAGATACCGTGCGTGATGTACACGGCTTCTCCGTCAAATTCTTCACCGAGGAGGGCAACCACGACATTGTCGGCAACCATGTGGTAAGTTGACTCGTTTCTCGTGGACCTATGAGACATCGTCTCACCTGTAGTAGCCCGTCTTCTTCGTTCGTGACCCCGTTCGCTTCCCCTCCCTGAACCGGAGTCATAAGAGGCACCCTACCACCGGTCTTCCCGACATGAACATGGTAAGTTCAACCTCTTCAGACCAGCATCCTGATTGTCGACCTTGCTGAATTAACTGGGTATCTAGTACTGGGATTTCCACAGCAACCAGCCTGAGAGTGTCCACACCCTGATGCACGTCTTCGGCTCCCGCGGTCTGCCCCAGTCCGCACGCCGCATGACCGGCTTCGGTATTCACACCTTCAAGCTGGTGGGTCACGACGGCAAATTCCGCTACTGCAAGTTCCACTTCAGACCTGTGCTGGGCTCCCACAACTTCACCCCGGAGGAGGCCACTCGCATGGCTGGTGTCAACCCCGACTTCCACAACGAGGACCTCTTCCAAGCCATCCTGCGCGGTGACTACCCCAAGTGGAAGTTCTACATCCAGGTGATGGAGCCCGAGCAGGCTGAGACCTACGGCCGCGCCGTCTTTGATATCACCAAGGTGTGGCCGCACAAGGACTTCCCTCTGATCGAGGTCGGCGAGATGACTCTGAACCGCAACGTAAGTAGTGTTCTGAGCACAGTCCTACTTTTCTATTAGTGCCGCCGTGCTAATGATGGCCGATCAGCCCGAGAACTTCTTCGCCGAGATCGAGCAGGCCGCTTTCTCGCCCTCCAACCTGGTGCCGGGTATCGCCGTGACCCCTGATCCTAGTAAGCTTTCTCCTTTCAAATTGTGTGATGTAGATGATTAGTGGAACTAATCCTCTGTAGTGCTCCAAGCGCGTATGTTCGCCTACCCCGATGCCCAGCGCTACCGTCTGGGAGTCAACTACACGCAGCTGCCGCCCAACCGGGCCATCTGCCCCGTGTATGCGCCCTACGAGCGTGACGGTCTGGCCACCATGGGCCGCAACTACGGTGGCGACCCGAACTACATCAAGAGCACCCTGACCCCTGGCGTGTTCAGCCAGTCGGTGCAGGAGGTGCGCCACCACGAGTGGCTGCGCTCCGGCGCGGTGCTGGGTCTCAACGAGATCCCCGTGGACGAGGAGGACTTTGTGCAGCCCCGTGCCTTGTGGAACAACGTGTTCGATGAGGCGGAACGCAGCCTCTGGGTAAACAACGTGGCGGAAGCCTTGGAGGGAGTGGTGCCGGAGATCCAGAAGGCCACGATTGCCATGTTCAGCCGGGTGGAGCCACAGATCGGCCAGAGATTGGAGGCTAAGCTGAAGAGCTCTTCCCGGTTGTGAATGGACAGCGGGAGCTTATAGACCATAGATACATAACGATAGACGATAGACAATATAGAGAGTGGTTCAAACAAGAGATGGTCCCTGAAATGTCAACTTGGTGGGGGGGGGTATCATGGTCCCGTGACCTCACCCCGCATAACCCCGCCAGTTACCCTTTGCGATCTGACCTGGATCAACAGCTTACTACAGATCACTCAGCCATGGCGGTGCAAAGTCTACTAGATTCTAACCGATATAATGCCAGCCTAATGGACTATTCTTCTCAATTCCCGGAACCGTCGATATGGTCCGATCGGGCCGTGCAGGAAGCATGCCTGATGCGCTACTTTGTTGAAGAGCTGGCCCCATGGGTAAGGTCTACTATCGCAATCCTCAGCAAAAGCAGCCCCTGAGTTTGTTGGATGCAGTTCGATTCCTGCGATGCTGGTAAACATTTTGCCCTTGTAATGCCCGATCGCGCGGTTCAGTGTCCAGCCTTGCTCTACGCTGTCTACTCGGCAGCTGCACGACACCTCGGCCGCTGGCAATCCACAGGGACCCGCCCGGTCGCCTTTGCGGGGAGACATCTCCCCAATCTTGGGGATGGAATGGCCCTCAATTACCAGTCTCTCTGCATTTCCCATCTGATGTCAGCAGATGACACGGAAATTCATAACGTGGACCTCCTGGCCGCGTCCGTCATCCTGCGTTTCTACGAGGAATTCGACGGTTAGTCGGCTCGTTCACCTGCCTTTCTATGTCTAAATTGCTAACAAGCATGAGCCACAGCGGCCCTGGCTGGAGTTGACGGGAAAACCCATCTGCATGGCACCCAAGTGTTCCTCAACGCTCAGGGCCACGCTGCATTGCGCTGTGGTGGACTCCAACTGGCGGCCTTTTGGGTTGGCATCCGACAAGAGTTTCACAAGGCTTTTCTCGAACAGCGTGTCGCCGAGCTCGATCTGAGCTGCTGTGACGGGTCTGTCTATCGACAGTTGGATTCTACAGACGATCCCACCTGGGCGAACCGAGTAGTGCTGCACTGTGTCGATGTGCTCCGGTATTGCTATGGCGAGGAAGGCCAGATTCGGTCGCAATATGAGGAACTGTGTGCCTACAACCAGCAATGGCAAGCTCTGACTCCGCCTACCTTCGATCCCTTGTATTGTCGACCCCCAAACACTGTCAAGGGGGAGATATTTCCTGTTCTGTGGTACTTGGATGACTGCATCGGTGAGGGGTAGACTTCAAAGGTCAGATGTATCGACACTGACGACGCTTACAGTCACGGGTATTCAACACTGGCACCTTGCCCGTCTTCTCCTGGCCGTATTCGACCCTACAGTGCCCCGCCTTGGGCCTGGTCGTAAGGCAGCCATCGCACGAAGAGAGGTATTGCATGTACAACTTTGCCGGTAGTCGAGTCTGCTCGCTAACTGCGATAGTCCGAGGTCAAGCACCATGTGTTCAGTCTTTGTGGGATAGCCATCTCTAACAAAACCGCTCCAGCACTCGTTTCCGCCTGCATGGGAGTATCCATGTGTATGCTGTCTTTTCTTCATGGCAAAGAGATTCTCTGACTGACTAATAAATACCAGGTGGTGATCGCATGACCGATAGAAGGGAGCAAGAGGCCCTGTTCGATATCTTGCTCAAGACCGAGCAGATCCATGGACTAACTACCACCCATGCACAGAATTCTCTCCGGGCGGCCTGGGAATGGGATACTACAGTGTCGCAAGTGCCATCCTTTAATCCCAACATCTGACAGGGTTCTTCGTGCCGGGAATTGCTCTTGATTCCCGGAAACGCACCGATGGTTGCGTCGTCACAATTGGGTGATTGTAAACTGTAATTCTACTCTGTTGCACCTGTTTAAACCTTAAGAGCCTCTACCCCACCCAGTAACCCTACACTGGTGTGCAGGATAGCTTCAGGTCGACTCCACGATACTGCGCCGATGATCTGCTGTCAATATCGTCTCTGTGGCCTTGCGAGACCTTCTGTCGATGTGATTGCTATTACATTTGCCGAATCGCCCCGCGAAGCCATCGGTTGAACGCCTCATAGCATTTCTCGCAAGCGCTCTGCGGGCATGTGAGACTCGGGTCCGAAGTGCAAGTGTAGTAGGTTTAAGCCTTCCAGTCCACCATCGTAGTCACATTGTCAACAGAACAGCCCCGACCTGCCTCTCCAACCAGCCATTCCCAGCCCTGCAACAGCATTGGCCAGTACATATAGCTCTTTAACTTTAAGTTGGCCTTTATACTTCGCCTACGATAGTCTTGTTACACGATGGCAAACCTCTGCCCAAAGGATCAATGGCAGGTAATCTGCGCATCATCCACGGTCCTCCAGACAATGGTGTGACGATTACGACACACTGTCCATGTTCGCAGTAGGGTGCAGAAGGTTTAACTTGCTATATAAGCATGTGCTTATCGCACGTCCCCCATACCCCTAGGTGTGTGCCCTGCAGACGCCCTTGTACTTGAGCAGCTACACTGCAACCTACATCTACACATGATCAGCATGTCTGATTTCTTGGCCTGGGCCTTGATCGTCCTTACGACCACGGCACTCTTCAAGCAGGTCTACGGTTACCCAGCCCTTCAGCCGAATCTACTGCGACCACCAGTCACCCCTCCCCTGCCTGATCTTACGCCACTGGCAGCTGACGATGTTGAATACACCCTCGCGTATGAGAAATGGCCAGCCACCAGCAGCCTAGGCATCCACTACGGTGAATGCTACTATATCAAAGATGTCAATAGCGGCAAGACACTCGGCTCAGACGGCGGCGTATACAGTTACTACAAGTTTGGAAGCGCACGACGAACCTTCCAAGTTTGGAACACACGGTCATTTCCAAACCCCGCCGATGCAGATTGGAACTATGCAGTGCGCGATGGCGGCAAGTTCTTCCTTTGGGATCCGCAGGGCAGTACCCAGACGAATGGGGGCAGTTGGGTAGCCACCAATCTAGGCGGCTACACCTATCCTGGCTTCGGCGGGTACTGGTACTATTTGCATTTCAAGGGATATCGGGCGCATAAGCGGCCTCATGGGGGAACTGCTGTGACGTTAGGGCTTGCTCAGGTTGAGCCTCCGTCTCCGTTGCCGAATTATCGCGGTCTCAAGGTCTCGGGGGATTATATCTGGAATGAGGACAACGAGGATACTATCGATGTTATCTTCGTGTCGACAGGTTGCCATGATGATGATAATGCTGCCGTCGATGTGTAAACGGAGGCAATGACGGGCCTTGCAGCAAGTGAATTGTGTGGCGTGTAGGGTTGCACTCGAAGGATCAAGACTGGCTCTCCCCAGCTCCCATGATCATGTTGCCCTGAAAAGTTTGCTCCGCCAAAGGAAAGTTCACTGCCAGAAAGCCAGAATTGATTTCCGAAAGATACGTGCCAGATTTCCCATGGCCTGTAACGAGGCCCATCAACAATCCGAAAGTTTGAGGCAATCCAGCCCAGTCTAGATCCAGCCTAGTCAAATATAGATATTATGAGGGTGATACATTTTCCAGATTACTCGTGAACATCGTCATCAACTCGCTCGGTCATCATCTTCACTCGTCGAACTCATCATCCATGTATTGGTCCCCCTGTGCCTGCATCGCCTGGAATATGCTGTTCCCCCCTTCGCGGAGACCCAGCAAGCCATATTCATCAGTCATATCGTAGGGGTCATCATCAGAGTAGTCGTCGAGGTCGGAGTCGCCAGCGATATTTTGCGGACAGTCCGGATAAGGAAGGATGGTGAAATCGACGGACGTATCCTTGAACAGGTCCTTGATAGTAGTATAACACTGCTCCGGCGTCTGGCCAAATGGGATCTGCTGACCCGGGAGTTTGACGGGGTCGGTGATGTCCACGGCGAGCATCTTGACGCTCTTGAGTGCGGGAAGGCGTCCCTGGCGACGCTCCTGGGCCAGATGCTCGGCCAAACCACGGACCGGAATGTTACAGTCTTCGACGGTGAGCTCTTCGAGTGTGGGAGGGAACTGGGGCTGCGGCGGCAGGAAAGCTTGTTGGACGGTCAGTCGCCGGAGCACGGAGAAGTCGCGCAGCGAGCCGATCTTCGCCTGGCGGGCCACATAATCCTGGATGTTCTCTCGCTCCCAGGGTTCGCGGTTCCAGGTCATTGTCAAGCCTTCTAGGCTGTCCTTGTGGGGTAGGAGCGCGGCGCTGAGTTCGGGGGCGGTGGGTTCGCGAACGGGGCGGAGGTTATGAGGCTGGTCCTCGGGGTCCGTGGTAAAGTTGTCGTAAGTGAAGGAGGTCACTGTGCGGCATGCGCGGAGTAATTTGGTGACAGAGGGGGCATCGATATGGCAGAGGTGTAGGCCGATCCGGTTCATGGTCAGAGACTGTGGAGTCCAGCAGGCGGGGAACAGGTCGTCACTGAGGTGGGCTTCTTCAATATCTATCAAGCGTAACTGGAGCCGACTGATCATCTCCTCATAAAAAGCGAGCGGGTAGCCCTTGAGGAGGTCGTCGCCTTCAAACCACAGGTCCTCGAGTTTCGACAATATGGCAGGATGGCGATTTCAAGCTTGTTCGAGTGGCTTCATGGCAAAGTAACCTCCCGCCAATGTCAACATGCGGAGGTTTGGGGCTTTCAGGATAAGCAAGACGACCATAAGACTGTAGTCGAACTCCTCTTCCTTCAAAACACTCATCCAGTCGCGCTCGTCCTCCTTGTCTAAGCGGAGGTCACGTATGGATGAGGTAAAGAGCTTTCGGTCGTTGGCGGTTAGGGGCTGCGGGCTTTGATGAAAGACATGATGATCGTGGTCTGGAAGGACGGGGAGGCTGCGGATATGTTCGCCTAGACTAGGACGGCGGAGGACGGTACGGGTAAGGGAGACGAGGTTTCGCAGATCGCCAGGGAAGCCAGACAAGTCAACATGCTCGAACAGCAGGGGCTGGGCGAGTTCGCGGAACAAGTGGCACACCCGACACAAGTTGTACAAGTCGATGATCTCCTGGATCTGTGCGCTCCCTCCCTTCCCATTGTCCCCCGGAATCTCCTCATCAGTCTCATCAGTCTCATCATCTTCATACTCGGCGACCCAAGGAGGGCGTGGGAACAGTCTATCGGCAGGGGGTTGTTGGGACTGGGTCTTGGTGCTTTCATCGAAAAATCTGGTGGTCTGATCCTGTGGGTTGGAAGGATTGCTATGGGCAACGGAGGAGAAAATCTGCAGAAGCAGCTCCTGGGGGAGGTCTTGAATGCGAACCATGGTGTTCAAGAATAGTTACTAGGAAAGTGAGGTAACGGGACCAGCAGCACCTAAGGCCGCCGAAACAATAGAGATGGAAAGGAAAGACAAAGAAGATGGGAACATTGGCACCAGATCAGAGAGAAAAGCAAGTTTAGTCCCTGTACCTGAGCTGCCAACTAGAAAGACGGTGAAAGTTGACGATCAAGAAACGCGTCGCGTAAATCATAAATTGACTGATCAACTCGTTATCTTTGGGCTTAATTGACTTCGTGACTCGGCAACAACGATACCCCGACAGTTGGGCTCACTAAGACACTCAGTGATATGACTGGAGTATTTCTGATCTAACATAACATGTAAGACAAACAAAATGTCATATAACTAGTAGTACCTGATCATCCAGAACAAAACCCCGGTTCATGACGTCATCACGTGTCCTGCCCCCGCCCTGCTTTGGTCTATCTACACCCTCATCCATCCCCTATAAAGTCTGTCACTGATCATTATCCCTCTCTATACTCCAATACTAGTAGTGACCCTTTGTCTATAGTTACCCCTATCTTAATTTGACCATGCCTGACTTTTACCCCGCTCTCCGCAATCGCCGCAACAACGAGCTCGCCCGTCTGGCGGAGGAGCATCTGCAGCATGACCTGCGCTCTGAAGACCGCGACGCTCTCACCACGGCCACACAAAAGGTCGCCTGGTGGACGACAATTGGCTCAGCCGTTGGTCTCGGACTCGGTCTCTATGCTGCTTTCCGTCTAAGAAGTTCACGCAAGGCCTTCTTCGAGGTCTTTCGCGCCCGCGAAAAGCCTACCCACGTTGTCTTTGCCGGCGGACGTTCTGGTATTCACTTAATTCCAGTGCTCCTTCTACTAGAATGCTGTATACTGACATTGTTGCAAAACAGAGCCTATCCCAGATATCACTCCCCTGCTGAAACCCACCACCCTGGGTGATTTCACCACCTATTTCTTTGCTAGCGCGGGAGGGTTCTTCTTAGGCGGCGAACTTGGTAGGTTTCTGCATCTGAACGATCTCAATATCCTATTTGGAGGGCTTCTACTAAGTAATCACCCCACTGTAGGTTTCTTGGGAGGAGCATGGAGTGGAAGTCGCTGCATCACGGCGGATCCCGATCGAAGGCAGAGAATCGAGACGGCCTTCCGAAAATTCCGGGCGGAGGTACTGCGCAAGGAGGCGGACGAACTTGATCGAGGGCTAGATGTATCCGATCAGATGTTTTGATCGAGTGACATCGTGAGATGGGAGGAATGAAAAAGGATACGCTTTCTTGTCCACGAATTTTGAGGAAGGCGACCCTACGACGGCTTGCCACCACTAATATGACCCGCTATCAGTTGATATGACGAGCGAGACGATTGTATAACTACGAATGTAATCGAAGTACTCTCAAACCAATCAAATCATTAAATCCACCGGGTTTTCATTTTTTTTTTTTTTTCTTTATGACCTGCAGGAGTTAACAACCCCCCGGCCACAGCCAGCGAAGCCATTCTCGAGCACACGTCTTCCAGCTTCCCGAGAAATAATGCTTAACCAGAACATCTGGTGCAGTCTGATCTTCGCCCTGGAGGACAGCAAGGGATCGTCGCGGAAGAATGATCACGTCGCGAGCGCGAACCACCTCGTGAAGATCGCGGAGCTGCTGAATCTGCTCATCATCGCACTGTAGATATCCCAGCACCGCATCTGTCCACGCACTGGGACCGGTCCAGCCCATCACGTCGATATCTGCATCAGTCTCTGCGGTCTGAGTGGAGATATAGTGGGCTGTGCGGTCAACAATGGACTGCAACACGTCACGAAAGATGGGGTGACCAGGAACGGATGCCATGGTCCACTGAACAAACTGCGGAGATCGAGGCAGGCCAGTTGTGGCGGCATCGCCCTCCAGGCCCACAATCACAGCGGGTGGTTTATCAACACCATCATTGACTGCACCCATGACTGGCCACGGCAACTGCTGGAGAAGCTGGACATCGAGGTCATTGTAAATCCCACCCCGCCCGAATAAGATCAAGTAGCGGCAAAGGTCGGATTTAAGGATAGGAGCGGGTAGGGCTTGGAATGTGGCTGAGTATGACCCAGTATCATCGAGTTCCTGCGCAAGTTCGTAGCAGGAAGACTCCCTCCAGTACTCGACTTTCCATCCTGATTGGAGCCACGAGATGCTATGTCTATCCGGATAGAAGCTGGATCCGTGGGATCCTGGTGTCGAGATGAAGAGTTGATGGACTGTCTGTGGAATGGCAACCTTGAGAGGGTTGATCGTGCCAGGGTCTTGTTGTAGAATCGCCTGGGACTGTAATTGTGTGAGGTAAAATGCAGCGAGCAGGCCTAGCAGGACGATTGCCTGGATAATCAACAGGCAGCGACGCCGCATTGGCGGGGGTGGAAATGCTAGCTATAACGTTGGACCAGTAACCACGCCTTTGTCAATCAGCACATCGGCGAGACATGGCCTGACAAGTGGAGGAGAAGCTTCCATGACCGATTCTCTTGCGTTGGACCATGGGGACTATTTAAAGTCTTGAACAGTTCTTCCTCAGTGGGACAGCGACCCACCCGGCATGTTGCGGAAGGGATGCACTTGGTCTGCGCGCATATGAGAGAGAGCGAGAGAGAGAGACGAAGGTGAGGGTTGGCGTGGGGATGAGTTAAATCTGTGCATGTAATCTGCGGAGGGTTGTTCTGTCGCTTATGCTGAAGCTGCAGGTTGATTCTATTTCATCAAAGTACAATGACACCTTGCTGTTTTGAACTCGAACCCATCTTCAAGGTGAGTGTGTATCTCTGTCAGCTTCTACCCTGAATGCTCTCTCACATGCACGATGTTCCGGGTAACCAACACACTAACGAAATAGCTCCCCACTCGGCTTCGGCACCAATTCACTCCTCCAATCCGCCATCACCATTGCCCCTGCCCAGACTTACTAGTGCCCCAAATATGTCCCTGAACCCTCCACTAACAAAACTGCCCGTCAGGCAGACGAATTAGGGTTGTGGCCGGCGCCGACAATGCTTTCAGGACCAGCCAGTCGGAGCAGCACCGAAGGACGCCTGCTGCTACGAGGATCAGGTGGGAGATCAGCCATTGTGGTGTATTAGCGGCTATTCATCGGGTGCGGCTGGACTGGTGGCGTGCTAGGTACCGCTAAGATGAAGCCTAAAACAAGGTCGTTGGAAACAGGAGAATCCGAACAAGTCTGGACAAATTGCGGAACCTGCAAGGTAGTACTTCATAGTAACATCAGCCCTAGTGCCCAACAACCCTTCATCGTGACTAAGTTTATATTTCTAGATGTATCAAAGACTCGCGCGCTGTTTTCTTTAAGCCCAAATGCAAGAACCAAATTTTCGCGACGCGACGCAATGCACCGCAGAGAATCTCTGCATCCATTTCCACCCAGCAGTAGCCACCCACCGGAGTGGACCAACCAGGATAGAGTAGTAGTCATAGTCGTAGTAGTAATAATGGCAGCAGTAGTATATACATTCCGTACACAGGGGGGAGGGAAATAACATGCAATAAACAGACAGGTAGTAGGTACGAGTAGATGCCGGCTAGAGGAGAAAACGAAACCATAGACGCAAAACAAAATCATGACATGAAAAAGCATTCCTCGGAACTCATCGAAAATGACCCATCAAACACCAATTCCAACACCGCAATATTGAATATCCCAGAACAGCCCAGCTCAATCTGGGAGAATAGCAGAGAGGGAGGCGAGGGTGGATCCCGTGAGGAATCCGCCGGGTCCCCGAAGGACTCAACCCGCCCTTAGGTGGAGGCGTTGTTGGCGCACGTCCAGCTCGCAGAGGAAGAGCTGTCGTGAATGGCCTTGCCAGAGACGTAAAGACCCAAGCCGCACTGGTCTTGTTAGTATCCATGTACAATGGTAGGACGGGAATAAATAGGTTGACAACATACAATAGCGCAAGCAATGGCAAAGATGACCAGGTTGACAATGGTCAGGAAGATCTTTCTGGGCGAGGCAGTATACTGTCCACGGTTCATGACCAACCAGAACATGGCAGGGAGTCCGTCTGAGATGAAACGATAAGCCTAGAATTCCACAGACAAGGGGGAAAAGGTGAGAAGGGGGACTTACAACTGAACCAACTACCGAAGAGAGAACTCTGCCATCACAACATCCGTTAGCGACAACACGTTTACCGCACCTTAGGGGCTAAGGGAAAAGCATACGATCAAACTCAACAAATCATTGAACACGGGGATCGACTCGGCAATGATCCAAGCAATCACCCACACGCCCAGTGCAATGGCGACCCACGATCCGACAGCTGAAAGACTGTTGGTGTGCATCTGGGGGGAGCCGCGCCAGACGCGGACGTAGATATACTTGGACGCGACATGACCGAATACAACTCCGGCAATGATCACCTACCACCGAGAGTATATTAGTATGCAAAATAAAACGAGACATGGAGGAGACACTCACGGTAGGAATGGCAAGACCGTATGCAACCTTGCTCATCAGCGGACCGGCAGAAGACAGAGCCGGGGAAGCAACATCCGGACCGGCGTAGCGGTAAATGACCATGGCGGTGACGATGTACATGGTCGTATCGGTGACCTGCAGCATAGCCAGCGACTTGGGGAAGTCGCGAGGATCCTCCATTTCCGAGGCAAATCCGAAGAAGGCCACGTGAGCAACTGCAGAGCAAGGATTAGGAAGGACGCTCCGAGAAAAGAGAACAACATGCACAAGGACATACTGAAGGCGAAGACGATGTTGGTCACTGATAGGAAAGCGGTCGAGAAGCTAGGATGGGTGGTGATGTCAACCTGAACATGATCAGGTGCTTGCACGGCGATGGCCACCATGGTGACGATCGTGGCAATGGTGATACTGGTACAAGCTGTTGAGAAGGTGATCAGTCTCGGTCTGAGAACCAAGCAGCAAAGAGGGGGTGGGCTGGACATACAGGCAAGAGACATCCAATACACCTTGCCCATGGTACGAGGCAGGGCACCGATGAAGCTGACGATCAAACCGACAACACCGAAGACGATGGTGCAGGTGCCGTGACCAGTGATGGTGTTGAACAGCACGGTGAAAGTGAGAATGTGACTTGACATCAAAAAGATGCAGAACAGCAATTGGCCAAAGAATAGGATTTCGCGGCCAATGCGGCCAAAAAGAATTTCTCCCGCATCACCCATGCTGTGGACTTGGGGATAGCGCAGCTTGAACTGGCCGATGACATAGCCAGTGTACCAGGAAATGCCAGACAAACCCAAGATGAGGAAGATGGAGCTGAGTGAGGCATATTAGCGAGGGTACAGAATAGAATGAAAGTTGACAAAGTGGAAGCACTCACGGGACAATTCCGAGAGTCGCCACGGCCGATGGCAGGGACAGAATTCCCAGGGAGATATTCTCCGCGATCATCACTATCACATATCAGTTCAGACGGTGTTCCTTGACTCTTGATGGAGGTTGGGTTTGGGGAGAAGCCCCGAGGAACCTTACATATACCGCAGTGCCACCACTTCATGACACGGTACTTGACCTCACCACACTCCTCATTGCCAAAAGGGTCATTTTCCGGGGGGGATTCATGGGCGGAGATCTTCTTCTCGGCCAGCTCATCAGCCATGATGTCGGAGTCGTGGTGGACGGCGAGAGCCTCAGGATCCCGGGTAGTGGGAGCCATGGCGAGATGAAGAAGGGAGCGGAGCGGAGAGGTGGTTGTAAGTTGTCAAGCGGAAAGAAGATAGAGGCGCTACACTAAGAAGAGGGAAAGAAAAAGGAAGGGAAGAGAGGAGAGAGAAACAAGAGCAAGACAGAGAGAAAGGGAAAGGGAAAAGAAAGAGAGAAAAAAAAAGATAGAAAGTTTGATGGTAGCGGAGGGCCGCAGACAGACACACCGGGGGAGGGCTATACGTATTATGGGCGGGCTGACGGGGAGTGGAGGATGGGCTGGCCTTTGCTTGACTAGTAGACTAAATAGCAAAGTAGCAGTAGAGTGCACCGTAGTATCTAGCACGTAGCACGTAGTTATCTACCGTTGGTTATTATTAAGAAGATGCGGGTTTAGGCTTTTTCTGCATTTCGCTCAGATTGTGGGGGGGGGAAAGGAAAAGGAAAAACGAGGATGAAGTTTCGCCCGTGGCCACAGCGCGGTGGAGCCATCCCCGAGCCCGATAATCAATCTCCTTACGTTAAAGGCAGACTAAGTCTGTCTGTCCGGTGGTTCAGTTGGGAAGGCAGAGCGAATCACACTGGAGAAGTCGGGCTGGATTTCCCCCAGAGTACCACCCGCTGGGTTGATCACTCCAACGGAAACTCGTTACCTGGAGAAATCCATGACGGTGAACTGTTTGACATGAGGTGACGGTCGCAACATCGAAGCGGATAGAGTTTGGGGCACCCCAGGCGTTTCCTGATCAATCATCCATCATCTCCAAATGCTAGTACGTACTTAATAATTATTAGACTGCTAACTAGACTACCAGGCTAACTAATGCTGCGGTTATGCATGTGCCATGGGTAGGTAGGTACTGGTGTAGTAATATCTGATTGCGGTAAGAACTCTGAAAAAAAAAAGTATGCTTTCAACCAAGATGCCCCCGTTGCTGGTGGATTCTACGTAGCCCGGTGTACCTGATGGTAATAGTGTGTATATTTTCAGGCTGGTTATCTCCTGTTGCTCTTTCTAGAACTACGGTGTGCACCAATTATGAATCATTATTCATCGTAATAATGACAACCGAAGAGGTACCATGTATAATAATCATGATAATGAAGAGGAGGAAAAATAACAAGAAAAGCGAGGGTAAAAGAGGCAAATTGACGAAAACGGACAAAAAGGCGAAAACAATTTGAAAAGAGAAAAGAATTTATTAGTAGTGAGGAAAATGAGAGAGGGGCCCATAGATGTTTCTGATTGGCTCCGAGAACCAAGCTAACTGAAAAGGGTTGTTCACTAGTTCAAATCAGGACATGCAGACGCTGGCTGCTGAGTCAGGATCTGGGCGATGAAGGGGCAATGGTTCCAAATAATTATTGTCCATCATGGAATGAATATATGAACAACCGAAGCGAAGGGAGGTTTTCATTGTTTTTGGTTTACATATCCGCTTGGTTAATGATTTGACTCAACAATGGGCCTCGATCTGACAGGAATCTGGACAAGGGCTCTTAACCTTCACCGGACCATTGATTTCAGCTACATTCTTTTCCTTGGTGTACCGAACCCAACGTAACCACTATACAACTAACAACATGGAATCAAATAAGTGTTTAATGAACTGTTGCATTGGCGTTCCTTTTATTTTTTTTTTTCTCCTTGGCTGCTCTATCTCAACCACGTGGAACCATGCTAGTCTGTAGGGTTAGGGCCAGGGCGCTGGTAATTCTGGGGAAATGATGGCGATATGACCAAACTAGGTGATTATGAATTTCATAATTATTATCGCCGGCTTTTACACGGAAGGTTGATAATGCCCTTTTGATATACTGATAAGGGAAAAGGTGAGTGAGTATATGTTGAAAGGTTTGGTCGTTGATCCGGTTCCTGGCCGGTTAGCCGGACCCCTTACCCACGAGTACTAGTGATCTAACTGGATAGATAGCCGGTAGACAGGAGTACTAGTACTACTCCATACTGCCTACCTCTCAAGTTTCCAGCTCCCCCTTCCCGCCTTCTAGAACAAGTGTGTTAGGGCTTGGCTATGGTTATCCCCGGAACCAAACAGTAAGCAAGGCAAGAAGCGAAGAGGAGAAGCAAGAGAGACACCGAGAAAACGATCGATCAAGACAAACCAGCCAGCTCGGGATTCCGGGGATTAGACGGGCTCGCCAGTTAGCCCGTGTCGCTTCCCCATTTCCATGATGTTCCATGATACAATTGGATCAGAATGTCACACTCCCCCCCCCCCGATTTGTTTCCTTCTTCCCCATACTTTTCAGGACTCAGTACTAATCCCGATGTGTTTCCTCATGGCCAACCTCAACCCGAACCAACCACCGGAAAGGAACCCGGCCCGGCTCCGGTACCACTGCCGGTGGATCTGTCTTGGCCCTAAACCGGAGTATGAGTATGTATGTATCTTGATAGATACTGTATCTCTCTCCACTCTCCAGATACGTCCCTTCTATGCACTACTAACTGTTGATTATAATCGCACTATCTATCTTCCTATCAAGTCTGCTTACCCACTGCGGATGATCAAATAGAAATTCCCACTTTCTCATCAGGCAGCTCTGCCGACCATCGAGGCCAAGGCTGGGGTACAAAGTCTACATACATAGTTAGGCAACTACCGGCTACAAAATCTTATTACTCACAGTGAGGCTATGCCACGACATCCCGATGATGTCTTCAGTGGCAACAGCTGTATTTCTCTTCTTTGGCCAGTGTAGAGCTATCTCCCCGACGCACCCGGGGGGTTCATCCAGGCCCACTCCGTCCCCCGCGCCCGTGTGAACTCATCCCCAGGTCGAAGCCTCGCTCGCTCGCTCATCTGCCTGGTCCGCCGACGTAATAAGCGGCCACAGGATTGGCCGTTGTGTCCGTGTCGGATGTCCTGCACATGAATGTCGCCTCCCGGTCGCGTATGGCCGCCATTCTCCCGAAGTGAAACTTGCATTGGCCGTGAGCGAGCGGCACCCACGGAGACCGCGTGTCCCACGTTCGGCTCGTCCCTCTTTATCCCGTCGAGGAGGGTCCTTGTACCTTGTTGTTACAGATGGACGATGGTTCTTCCATCAATGATCGTCGTCGCTGAGGCCCGGGGTGAGTAGCTCGTGGAGAGAAGGGAGGGGGCCGAGAAAGGAAAACTGCGAGTGATCAGCCACGATGAACCGATGTGAAACCGCCGTCCCCATCCTTGCGTCGGCCGATTCGCACCTACTTACTAGCTGGACTACTAGATAGTTGCCACCAACCAGGCTGTGGAGGGCCCCCTCGGTGACCTTCCGGGGCAGGTCACCCGGCTCATGAGGTCCATTCGTTTTCTGCTGACCGTCGCGATCTACCCCCAGCCTCTGCCATCGACTGACTGGAGGGTCTTTGTGGACTAACTGGACATTCATCCATCGGGACACACAATCAATGAGGATGAAATTCGGTTATCTACCAGTCAGCTCCAATAGTGAAGTGGCAGCAGGGGATTGCCTCACTTTGTGTGTAGGATATGGTGATCGACTCCGATGATGTCGGTTTCCCCCGGTCGCCTCTCCTCCTTCCCTTCACATTTCGTCGCTTTATCCCCCGGGAAATGGCCCTGAGCAGTTGTTATCCCTTTGAACGTGTTGAATGAAATAATTGAGAATACCGGATCTCACATTCTGATCGATGGATGCTGCCTGGTTGTCGATGAAATCGTCAGGAAGCCACGGCGAAAGTCTTTCGTCGAAGTAGGGCACATTGCCACGAAGGGATGGATATGATTCCCCTTCTGACAAAAGAAACAGCTGTCGGAGATGGAGTTATCGAGCTCGTGCTAACGTAAAAATATCAACTAGCCAGAACGCTGCCGTATGATGGCGCTGTCACAGCATTGCAGCCCTTCCTCCAGAAAATCCATCCTTCATCCATCCTCATCTGCCCGCGGCCCAATTCTAGTTAGAGACATATACGAGAACGACTTGAACAGCTTACATGGCCTCAGTGCTGCTGACCGTTGCCTCTTTTCGGTAGACGGCTGATCGATCCATCGTCACTCACGGGCAAGTCAAAGCACCTACGAGTGTCCACGGGCAATAGCACAAACGCCCTCAGTATCAGCCAAACCTTGTCGGCACGGGAAACTGCTTCCCCGGGGTCACATAGATGGTTCTTCATACCAATGGCCCCTCGCCCTCTTGCCGTTCGGTGAGACCCGGAATACCAGTTACGAGGGTGGCGTCCCCCATCCCTATTCCTCCGAAATATCAACAACACGCTTCTTGGCCTGCAGCTGCAACAGACAGCTTGGTGTCCTTCGGATGAAATCTCCCAGCCGCGTCGTCTAGATCATTATAGACTGGACCTCGTGGCGTCCCTGACATTGTAGTGTACGGACACGTCGCAGACCTAACGACCACAACATCCCCCCCTGATTCAGATTATAGTAACTTTGGGAGGAAAACCATGCCACACTCCACTACCTCCGGAGGAATCAATGAGCGGAGATCCAAGAGAGCAACTACCTATGCTACTGAGGCGGTCCACTGGTTCTAGATGTGTTTCCCGTTGTCAATCCAGGTTGCCGGACCGGAAGTAGCGTTGCCGACGGCTGATTCACATTTGGACTATTGGAAGGGGCTGACACAAAAGCCAATGAACCTCGCTCCAAATCAGGCCGTGGGACTTGCAACCCAACTTCCAACCAGTAAATGCATGTTCTACCAGCGAAGATGCGATAAAGTAGTGTTGGGTGGCCTGTCTTTCCCATCTGGTGATCACACGGAGGAGGCAGAGGCATTCGGAGGGTTTTAGCTGATACCTGTCAGATTTCGGAGGCTAAAAGTCAAATAGACAAACTCTTGTCCGACGGTATTGAAACTATCAGAAACAGACCAGAGGCTTCAATACCCGACTACCTTGGCCGTCATATCCGGTTCAAGGTACGGATGTGTGCCAATGAGGAACTGGGACTAAGATAACAACTTCGTATGGTGGTATTACCAAGGTTTAACGAAAGAGATTACTACAAACGAGCAAGTAGGACAATAATAATTCCATCTCATACACTACGCATACACCCACAGACTTTGAGACTGGTTTGATGACGCGAGATATCTGACTAGATAAGACCCGTCTAGTAATGATCAAAAGGAACGATACCATAGTAACAGCAAACTAGGCCTTATTTCCCACACTCAAAAATCTCAACACTTACAAAGGAAGCTCCCGGACAGAAGAAGGGCAGAAGGACAGAAACATAACAAAAGGAGGAGGGAAAAGAAAAGAAAGAAAGAAATAAAGAAAATCAATTAGTAACAATCAACTGGTCATTCCCGCCAAAAGCTCTTCCTTAACGGTGGGATTAACTTCCCAAAGGGTTCATTTTGCTCGCTGGGTGTGGTGTTGTCCTCAACTTCGGGCGCGCTGGCGGCTTGAGACGTAGACGCGGACTTGGAAGTTTCGGACATGGAGTTGGACTGGAGATCAGGCCCGGAAGGCTTTTTAGACTTGTTTCTGGAGGTGGTCTTGGGCTTGGTCTTGGGCCTGGATTTGGTACTGGCCTGCTTCTTCTTGATCACCTCGACCACCACCTCCGCCGGCAATAATCGGTAAGGAGGACGCCTGCCGAGCTGACCAAACGATTCTATATCGACGTAAGTGAGGCCTGGACGAGTGACGATGAGAACTCGACCCCCTGGAGCAGCTGCACAGTCTGGAGTGCGGTTGGAACTGGTACCATGGTAGGTATGGCCGACCATGTTATCCGAGTTGTAGTTGAAGACAGACAGGTCGGGTAACCTGTATATCACAGAGTTGCCATAGATCCCTCCTTCAGTGTAGATGACCGCGTAAACAGCTTGCTCAAGGATTCTGTGGAGACCACCATTGCGGCCAGCTATTTCTGCCTCACTCTCCAAAGGGCGGAGAAGGAGTTGAAAGACCCGACGCCCAAGCAGCTCGTCTCTGAACTGCATCACCAACGCCTTGCGCCGGGCAGAGTTGCACCTGGCCAATTCCATCTCTTCAACCGTGCCACCATGGATGTTTTGCGCATTAGACTCAGAGATAACAGCAGACTTTAGCCATGCCGCACCAAAGCCGTTCCCTGCCCGGAGCCTCTCGTATAGATGCTGGAACCGCCGATGGAACTGAGGGTCGCCATCCACGTCAGTAGGATCAATCTTGCCGTCCATGAACCAGAAGGGGGAGTCGATGAGCGTAACGAAGATAAATTGGTAGAGCATTGCCTCGAGGAGGACATCACATAATGACTCACGAGCAGCAGGAGGACAGAGAGCCTTGATACTGTCCCAGTCTTCCTGGACGCATTGACCTTTGAGACTAGCGATAATCTCCTGCTTGTCATCTTTAGAGAGATGGCTTTCCTCCTCGGTTACACCGAAGGTCCAAGTCCAATTCCTCAGCGATATGTGCAGTTGATTGAATTCGTCATGCATAAGCTCGGGGTAACCTCTTCTGAAAAGGGCCGCGCTTGACATTCTTGTCAGCTGCGTGAAAAAATCGGAATATTCTTCGCGTGTGCCGAAGTAGTAATCGGTAGGATAGACGCGTTTTGACTCCGGGGGAGTCTCATCGCCCGGGCGGGCGGGTTCGGGGTCAACGCTAGCAGCACGCTTGAGGGTCTCGGACCGCCGCGTACGGGGGACCATGGTGTGGCAGCAGAGGGAGAATTGTCGATCCGATAGAAGAGGATGCGTCAACAAGTACGAAGGGTGCCAGACGAAGAGAAAGAGTAAGAATAGAATGCGGAAAGACTAGAGGGAGAATCAAAGACTGAATTCAACTGCCTAGGATCTGCAGATGGAGAGGGGAACAAGATGAGAAACAGAGAATACGAAGACACGAACACCTTGGTCACAAGACTGGCGGGCAAGGACATACGAAAAGGATAATAATAAATTGGATTACAACTGCTTCCTTACTACGGAGTAATTATAAACCCTAGTATTTTATCCTTCGGTTGTGCCTTCAGCTGGGCCCTTCGGCTTGGTTCTTTTGCCCATTTAGACCTTAATACAAACATTGCTCTTTCAATAACTTGACCTCTGATTCCAATTCCTTGTATCTTTTTATATCGACCCTCTTTTTTTGGGGGGGGGATTATATCGCAGCCCATATTTTTCTCCTGTCCTCTTTGTTATTCAGTGTTTCTTCTAGACTGCGCCTCCGACTTCCCTCTTTGAGTTCCCAGAGTTTTGGATGGGAAAACTTTCTTTGTCCACGTGCCGTTTTGGGCAAGGGCTTTTGCCAGGAAAGTATATATTGTTATATTGTCATGTAATGACTGTTACAATGTTAGAGACAGAGACATACAACAGCCACACACACAAAAGGAGAAGGGGGGAAGTGGGATGGAGAGAGAGAAAGAGAGAGAGAAAGAGAGAGAGAAAGAGAGAGAGGAGATGAGGGGAGGAGAGACAGAATGACTGGAATAGAACATGCTTGATGTGTTGACTTCTATACTGTACATTCATGCCAGCAGAGGCCACAGAATATAAAAAGGTCAAGGACCGCTTTGGATGCCTCCCTCTTCATTCCATGGTTCCATCCTTTCGATTAAACCATCCAGCTTGTTTGACCCGCTTTATACAGTCATTCTTTTCACTGGACTCTTTGTTTCTCACTCTTCTCTTATCTTCTCGTTTGTACCCCTAAATTCGTTCTTTGAAATGAACAACCAGCGATTGCCTGTGGGTATTGATCAGGGGGTCACGAAGACCGGCAAGTGACAGCCCTTCCTTTTCGCAGCTCTCTATGTTTTCGTTTTAATTCATTCAGCCCTTTGTTTCGCTGGACGCCATACTAATACATTGTTCACAGTGGTGACTTACTGGGACGCGATGAGAGCACGGTCCGTGGAGTGGACGCCCCCTGGTGCAACTTCCTGCATCATCCCTTCAGTTCTAGCCTACCCCAACGGCGAGGATCAGCAGTCAACATATGGAGAGGAGGCGCTACACCAAAGTCCACGATACGCCTGGACCAAAATGCTCGTGGAGGGGGCACCTGAGGTTCGAGTTGCAGGACTGGACTTGAATGCTCTTTTCTGCGGTGAAGAGGCTTTCAATTATGAAAACCGCCCTGCGACGGTGAGATTAATCTCACACTTCCTGTCGAATATCCGAGACGCCTTTCGCAACGACCCCGCAATCCTGCGTGAACTGGGAACCGGAAACCTACCACACATCGACTGGCACTTTTCCTTGCCGGCTTGTTGGGGCGCAGAGGGCCTGGCTCTTATGGAGGCCGCCATCAACCAGGCCGGTTTCCGACAGAACGAAGGTCGGATCTACTTTGCGACCGAAGGACTGGCTGCGGCCATTGCTGTGGCAAACCGACTGAGGAATGAGTTGCTGGCACAACCAGGAGACCGCGTGTTGGTCTGCGACTTGGGTGGTCTAACAAATGTAAGATTTCCGACGATCGATTCATCATCAATACACTTAACTTGGGCAGGACTTTACTGCATTGGATGTTATTGCGGTGCATCCGACCGAACCTCATCGTCTTATTTTCCAGAGATATGACGAGGACAGTAAAGCGGATTGTGCTAACCCCAGAATCGACCAATCGTTGTTAAGCCATCTTCGGAGGACCCTAGGACTGCGCTTAAAATCGGGAAGGGTCATGCATGTCGGGTTGAAGGCGGCCATCGCAACCAAACACGCCTTTGACGGCCAAAGTGAGGTCAGTGTCGACCTCAGTTTTGACTCATGGTATCTCCCCCGGCACTTTCGAGGTCAACAACGCGACGCCTTTGACCAGCAAGGGGGCAGATTCACCTTCTCTCAGGATGCCCTCCAGCAGAGCATGGGTCCTGTTGTGACCCAGATCCAGGACCGAGTGGCAGCCCTCATCGATAACTGGAATCCCAGCAAGATTGCCATAGTTGGTGGATTGAGTCGATCCGGTTATCTGCAAGGAAGGCTGAGTACCATGCTTGCTACCAGGTATCCCACAATCTACCAGGTACCTATGGATTCCTTTCGCGGCAATGATGCGTATGTTCTACCCCCCGCTCCCATCGTCCCTGTCTCCAGCAGCAGCAGCAGCTAACTTCCAAGGTGTAGCATCACCGCTGTCGCCCACGGCCTAGCCATCAAGGGGGGGACCATCACCCATCCCATGGAGTATTTGGGGAAACATACCTATGAGCTTGTCACCCCCTTCGTCGAGGAGCTAGGAACGGAGCTTGCTCCTCATCACGGATGGCATCGTCGTATAGCCTTTACTGAGGTACGCACTGGTCGCCCGCGGGGTTTATAGCATTATTTCTGTTACTGACAGCTGGGCCTTTGCGTTTTCAGGTGCAGGCACGAGACGGTGTACCTCCAAGGGGCGAAATAAGTACCGTTTACAGCATACAGCAAGGTGAGCATGTGCGTGACCTCGAAATCCGGCGGTATGATAGTACCGGAGGTTGGTAGACACCATAACCATCATTTCCTCTTGATCAACTTTGCGAACTGACACTTCCTAGTCTCTGAAAGCGTTGGCTTCGCGGCACTCTATTTTCCAGAGAACACGCACACTTGGACATCTGCAGATGGGACTATCAAGCACTACCGCCTTCGCGCATTCTGGCGTCTTGACGTTGTGTTACATGCTAAATTGGTTTGGACCTTCGAGGTGCAGGACCGTCAGGATCAACGGGTGGCAGAGGTAGGGACGATAACACATGTTGTCAGAGACCTCATCCCCCGCTGGGCATCATGATACTTGCGGATCTGTTGGCCTCTCTCCCGGGCCTTTACCTCCTTATATATTTGTTCTGGTTACAAAACAAAAGGGTACCATCACAGTTCAGTGGTTGAGGGTGGGAGGCTTTTTTCCCTGGTTTTTCTTTTCGGGTTTCTTGGTATAGAGGTTTTCTTGTTCTCGATTGCGATCGTCTGTGTATCTAGAATGTAACTGAATATAGATTTCCTTTTCCCTCTTCCAATTTCATTAAACTTACAGCAATATGCCTTGGGATAACACACTCACAGTTAATTGGGTTGAAGGGCTACGAAGAGGGTTGGTGTTGACGTTCCATTAATGCGGGCAGCATGTACAACCGTCGCTGGAAATAACCAAACTGACTTCCGGGACGAAGGGGCACGATGGAACACGACAGATAGACAATACATAGACTAGGATTGGACTTAGGTGGTACGAGAACTGAAATTCGACCGACAAAATGTACTCAACACGTCAATAAGTCTATGGGTACTCTAACCCCTCAGGGCTTCCTTCCTCAAAATCCAGTTCCAGATATTCAAGAGGCTATTTACTGCCGCCAGATGGTCTCTCGTAGGGGCGGAAGATCCCTGACCGGATCAGCATTCTCCTCCGTGTCATCCTCTTCCTGGCTCTCTCCTTCCTCCTTGTCCATTCCAACGGTGTCCTCGCAGTCATTGCTGACAGCAGCAGCTGCCCATAGTGCCCGGGCTTTTCTCCCCTTGGCTGCCACCAGTACTTCGGCACGGTTCACCATCCATGGGGGCACCGTACAAAAGTGTTTGAGGGAGATGATGTCGATGTAGCTATAGCTTGGCCGCGTCACAATCAAAACCCGACTGCCTTCAACGGGTTCAAATCCTGCGTGGAAGGGATGGACGATCATCTGGCCCGACCAGTGGTTGAATTTCGGAAGATCTGGCAGTCGCACAATGTTCATATTACCGTAGAGACCACCATCGCCGTGAATGACGGTTTGAGCGGCAGATTCGAGGAGTAAACGCAGACTACTCTTGCGCTGGGATCTCTTGTACTTGGTCACTGGATCCCGAAGCAAGAGCTGGAAGAGCCGGGAACGCATCAACTCATCAGTGTAAGTCTTCACAAGCGCCGTGCGATGTTTAATTGTGTTGCGGCCGACTGGAGTGGGTGGGATGTTGTTCATCACGCAGGGTTCATCGTTGAGCTTTCCAACAATGATGGATTTCCACCACGCTGCATCCTCGCGGGAAACTTTGTGGTTTTGTTAGGGGTCAGAAAAATCGCATTGTCTGCCGGTGAGAAGTTTGAGGGAAGTAAGAAACAAAGACGGATGGGATGAACGAACAAGAGCAGACCAAAAGATCATGATAATCAAATGCAAAGAAAAGGGTGGTATGTGAACTGACCTTGTAGGAGCCTCTCGTACACGTACTGGAACCTCTTGTGGAAGTCAGACTGGGGCTCTGAATCGGTGGCATTGATCTTTCCGTCCATGAACCAGAAAGGAGAATCTATGAACTTGGTACAGATGAATTGGTTCAGCATTGTCTCAACCAGGATCAATCCGAAATTAGCACGAGCGGCAGGAGGGAGGCTGAGAAGGATGCTATCCCAGTCTTCCTGGACACAGTATTCATCCAGGCTGGCGATAATCGCCTTTTTATCCGAATCCGCAAGATGAGAGAGTGACTCTCCCTTTCCCCACATGGTTGCCCATGTTCTCACCCGAACAAAGACCGACTCAAGAGCATGGCCGACCGTCACCTCTGCAGCTCTGGGGGTGGCGCGGGTGTAAAATACAGCTTTATGATGATTGATCATGTCGTGATACTCATCTCGTCGACAAAGGTACATCTCATTGGGGTAGATGGCTGGCTTAGGGACTGGGATCTGGCAATTCAACGGGGTTTCCTCCATTTCCTCTTCCCGGGAATGCTTGGAAGGTTTCGTCTGGGTGCTAGTCGTCGCCATGGTAGTGATGATGATAAGTTCACGGAGGAAGAGAGGTAGAGAGAAAAGGGAAGGGTGCCTGTGGGTGTGGGTGAGTGTAAAGGGGAAACAGGCTGAAGAAGGCAGAGGAGGTGAAGAGTAGGAGAATGTTATCCAAAGAAAAGAAGGGAAAAATCACGAGGCAAAGGAAAGGAGCGAATAAGAGTGGATGGAGAGACGTATACGGGAAACAAAAAGGATCAGGCCGACCTCATGCAGGAATGATCATTGTTGCAATCTTGCTTTGATCAAATCGTCATCGGTACCTTGTATTTTTTCTGTCAGATTTTCTTTTTTTTTTATCTTCATGTACTTTTGTACCCTCATCCGTTCTTTTATTTTATTTGTTTATTTATTGTTTTTTTTTTTCCGTTTCTTCAGCTCTCCCCCTTTTTCCTTTTCTTTTCTTTTTTGCCTTTTATTTTTATTTTTATTTTTATTTCCTTTCTTTGGTCTTTGTTCATGGGGTAGCTTTCATGGGAAACCCATCTCGTATTCCACAAGTAAACCTTGTGAGGTCTCAAGCCGCAAAACCTTGTTCCACATTGAGAAACAACAACACTTTCTAGCCGGTAGGTCTGTCAAGATGGGGGGCGCAGGAAGGCCTATTGGCAATTATGGCAAAGCGAGACACATGGCTGAGTTTGCAGAAGGGCAGACTTGCCTACACTTAGAAAAATTTCTAGTGCCTTTGGGAGTATTGTATCTTCCCGGCTCCATGAGAGACATGGATGGACACATATAAGAATAGTTCGAACGTGTGTTTTCCCAAGGCCCCATCTTGGTAAAGTCGAATTGCCAGATGTCATCTTTGGTTTCTTACTTCGCCATCTTTCAGTTTCTCGCTACAATATAGTGGATCTTCAATGATGAACCATGTCTACTGAACCAAGTGAATATTCTGTAGGCATCGACGTTGGTGTTACAAAGACTGGCAAGCCACCCTTACCAACCCTTTCTTTATCTTCCGAGTGAACGTGTTGATGTATGCCCGCCGGGCAACCACTAACATTTGAAGAATTTCCGTCATAGTTGTAACATACGCCGGCCCCAACATCCCTATCCGCGTCTGGACACCTGGCAACGATGATGACTGCTGTATACCGTCTGTTATGGCTTATGATGACGACGGTGAATTTGTCTGGGGTCACCAGGCTGCCGACAGCGATGACGCATTAGCCTGGACGAAACTTCTCATCGACGGATCGCCGGCTTTGGATGTACGTGGATCAAATCTGGAAGGTATCGTGAATGGGAAAATAGGTAAAACAGGTGAGAGGTCCGTAGAGACGGTCATTGGGGATTTTTTGGGTGCACTTCGGTTGCAAATTCTTGCGACACTCCGGAGACACTCGGTGAATCCTCAGGTAACCTGGTGCCTGGCCATGCCAGGCTGCTGGTCTCCCGTTGGATCGCAGGTATTTCGAAAGGCCGTTACGCACGCCCGCCTCGAGTTGCCAGGCCATCAGGTACTATACACATCTGAGTCTTGGGCTGCGGCCCGATGGGTTGAATTTAGTCTCAGGGCCAACCAAGGCATCCAGGTGAGCAACAACAATCAAAAAACTTCCCGGCCGCCTCTTCCTATGATAGCATTGAAGATGAACTGACTAGCTGAGTTCAGTCTGGGGACGTGCTCCTGGTTTGTGATTGTGGTGGAGCCACCACGGTAAGGGTGCTTGATCAAGGTCATAAAACAATCATGCTAACATGAAGGCTTCTAGGATCTAGACATAATAGAGGTGGAAGGATTGCCGCCGCACAACTTGAAGGCCCCGCACGCGCCACAAAGTATGTACTGATAGCATTGGTTTTATAGTTGGTATGACCGCCGTGATTGATAGCTAATCGGCCCAGGTATCCGTTGTGGGGGTGTCGACGTGGATTCAGCACTGTTCCAGCAACTTCGCAATAGGTTCCAGAGCACCCAGGCTTTCCGGCGTGGTCGGCCTGCTGCTATCGCACGCCGTGCTGTTAGCGAAGCCAAGCAGCAGTTTACCGGCGAGGAAGGGAGCCACGTTGACGTTCAAATCTTGAGGAGAAATGCTTTGATCGACCATCGATTTAATTCCGCGCATCTCGTCGCCGCCTTTCATCCGCTGGTCACCCATGTTTATGATGTGATCACGCATATGATCGGACAATACCAGGGTAAAATAACCAAGGTTGTCCTGGTAGGAGGAATGAGCAAATCCGAGTACTTCCGGGAGTACATGCGAAACTCCCTCAATGACCTTCCCGCGGACAGCCGACCGGAGTTGTTGAGTCCGATAACGCAGGCGTAAGTCAACCGAATTCCGATCACCCTGGTTTGGTGCCACTCGTTATGTTGGAGGCACGGAAATGAGGCATGGAAACAAATCCTGACTTTATACGGTAGTATCAGTGCCGTTGCGCGCGGGGCGGTCTTGCAGGCAATCGACCGGCCGCGACGCGTCGAGAGCTTGAGAGGCTATCAACTTTCCCTTCCCTTCATCGAACCAGGGCGCAATGGGTTTACGAACGGCTCTCAAACCTTTGTTGCTATCAGACAGGTGAGGCGCCCTGACTATCTCAGGAGAGATGACAGGGTATGAGAGAGGAATTGGCTAACACAGCTGAGTATATAAGGGGTGTAGGGATGTTCCGCGGCAAGGCGAGTTCCCAGCGGTAGTACGCTTCCGTCCCAATGAGACGGGCCGTAACATCAACCTGTTCAGCTTGGGCCCGCCAGGTGGAAGTCAACGTCAGTATCCCTCGATTTTCCTTTCGCTTATATGCCAGCCGAAGTTTCTTGGCAATTAACATGTTATCCTAGCCACACTCGTGACTTATGCCCCAGTCATCGCACCCACCCAAGTGCAGCACAGCCTGGAGACACTGTGGCAAGGGCAGGTGGCATACCGAGAGTACACAGTCAAAGTCTCATGGTTCATTAACTATGGTGCGCAACTGGAAATCCAGTGGGAAGTGTGGACCACGAATGGGCGCCAGCCCGATTCGCATCTTGTTGAGAGAATAGCCCGGCTGGTACACCCTGCAAAGAAAGAGTTGCACCTGGTATGACTCGTGAGACAGCCATAATATACCCCCCTCCCTCCCTTGTGGTTCTCCAATTTCCCTTTCTTTCGGGCTTCTTTTCCTCGCTTCCTTGCTTCAAGTTGGGGGGGGGGGGGGGGGGGGCGGCTGCGCGCTCTAAACGGTCACTTTCTAGAATGTTCGGCTTGTCAACTGGTAAATGACGTTTTTTCCGTTGAGCTTTTCGTTTGTCCCTCAGCATGTCATATGGATTGAAATGTTTTTGTACTAGTGCTTTATTAGGCTGACGTCTTAAAATGATAGTCGGGTGCTGTCAGGGTATTGCATTCATTCCCTCGCCAGTCACTCTTCTGAGTATATAGATGGATTCAAGGTCTTCGCGTCAAACAAGAGGTAGTGAGGTACCCCGATAGATGTCAATTCAGCTTGGTAAAAGGAGAAAGGGTCCTTTTGTTCGTACACAGGACTGTAGTAGTAGCAGACCCGAGAGGGAATCTGAAGTTAGAGAAGGTCACTACACAATAGTTTGGTGGTCTACTAATACTTTTTCAGCCATCCTCATGCCTGAGGCATCGATCGCCCATGTGTCACTGGGCTGAAAGAAGTCCCGATCACGTGGTCCTAAGAGTAGTGACACCTCAGGCATCAATTAATTGTCCTCACGTGCTTGGCTTCGAATCAAGCCATTCCTTCATGCATCCCTCTTGTTGATTTCATATTTCACAGCATGATGATTGACAGAGAGAGAGAGATGGAAGTTTACAGCAGAAGATGTGCGCAAGGCTTGACAAATGCACCTTTGCTTACCCATATTCCGGCGGAAGGCAGCTAGTTAATTCCGCGTCTTGCTAAGAGCTGATTAATCCTCGGAATTCATCAGTGAGGGTCTCTCCCCTCCGGCTTACAAATCCTGATTGGTCGAGCATGGCAATCACGCCACGGTAAATGAGATTGATAATAATGAAAAATATGAAGAAGATGAAAGTGTTCAATAGAATGGAAATGTATTCCCCACCGGGCTGGCGGGGTTAAATCAAAACCCCTCTTCGCAGCACACCGCATATCTATATAAGCAGTAGTCCAGCCCCGACGTCAAGTTTGACATTCAAGTCAGCCTTCCAAAATAACTCTCAATACCGATTGATTTCAGTCCATCAATCAATTACTTAGACATAAATACTCCCACAATGGGTTCCACACAGCCGCAATTCAAAAACCCTGCCACCACCTCCCTTCTGGAGCTGGTCAAGGCCCGCCGCACCTACTACGGCCTCAAGGCTGAGAGCCCCATTTCCGACGATGCCATTGAGAGCATCGTCGCCAACGCCGTCCTGCACGTGCCCAGCTCCTTCAACACCCAGACTTCCCGCGTCGTTCTGCTGCTGAAGGAGGAGCACCAGAAGGTCTGGGACATTGCTATCGCTGCCATGGAGGGTCTGGTTGCCGCTGGCACCCTCCCCAAGGAGAACTTTGAGAACCAGACTAAGCCCAAGCTTGAAGCCTTCCGCGCGGGCTACGGAACGGTCTGTTTGCCCCTATAATTTGGATTGACCGAATCATCCAGCTAAACCAACAGTAGGTCCTCTTCTTCGTCGATTATGACTCCCTCGCCGGTATCAAGGAGAAGTTCGCCATCTACGCCGACAAGTTTGACCCCTTTGCCCTGGAGTCCAATGCCATGTCCCAGTACCTTAGTAAGTCATCTACCACCTAACAATATTCCTACCGGTTCATAACGGTCCTTACCATCTTTCATCATCATCACTTGCTGACTCTCGTCCCAGTCTGGACCGCTTTGGAGTCCGAGGGCTTCGGTGCCAACCTGCAGCACTACAGCCCGCTCGTTGATGAGCAGATCCAGAAGCAGTGGAACCTGCCGGCCTCGTGGAAGCTCGACGCTCAGCTGGTCTTCGGCGTCCCTACCTCGGAGCCTGGCGAGAAGGCGTTTGCGCCCCTGGAGGACCGCTTCAAGGTCTTCGGCAAATAGACGCATTATGATTGATGCCATTCTGGAGTTAGCGTGTTAGATTAGACTTGCGGATTCGTGCCCTGAGGCGTACCGCCGCTCGAATAGACTTCTTCTAATTTTGTTGCAATATTCTCGTACGTATCCGTAGACGTACTGGAACCGGTAGAGATGATCGGCAGTGCTCTAGCTGTCGTGAGCTATTTGCCAATAAATCTAGCAACAAAGTAGATCGAGCACTATACAGAGTTTGCGTGCATGAGGGTCCTCATCTCTTAGAAGGATTCATCGCTGCCTTATGGCGCCTCGCATTTACCCACAGTAGAGATTGGCCACAGTGCAACCATGAGCTAGATATGCAGGACCATAGGCAACGATGAAACACACACGCAACCAGTCCGAATCTTGGAAGATGCTTATCTTCGTGGTCCCTGTCCCTGTAACGCCGACAGCTAAAATTAGCCCTCCCCACTCTTGTCCCGCCGAACAAACTCATCGCGCACCCGCTCGTACTCGCTCACGAATTACCCGATTTGGTAATACCACCATGGCTCTCCTCCAGGGACTTCTTAAATATAAGAACATCAAACCAGAACTTGGGATGATGAGACTCGCACCCATCCAACTGTTCTTAATATTACAGAATTGTATTTTGCTTTCACCATGGACTTTCAATTCCACCCCGGCGTCAATGGCTCCGATCCCTACGTCGATTTCTACCCTTACACGCCGTCCGAGACAGCCGGATACGCTTTCATGGCTATTTTCGGTCTTGCGACCCTTGTTCACTTCGTCATGATGTTTCCTTACCGCGCTGCATACTTCATACCGCTAGTTATCGGGGGAATATGTGCGTCGAATCCATCTTTACCCTATCAACTGCCCCGAGCCCTACCACGACATCTGTCCATCCAATTTCCCATCCATCTAACATAATCTCTCATTAGGTGAAACCTTCGGCTACTATGGCCGTGCCTGGTCCCATCAAGGCCGGACGCTCATCGGTCCCTGGGCCTTGCAGGAGATGCTCATCCTCTGCGCGCCGCCCTTCATCGCCGCCACCGTCTACATGATCCTCGGACGCATGATCGTCGCTTTCGCTGCCGAACATCACTCCGTCATCCGCCCCAAATGGCTCACCAAGATCTTCGTTCTCAACGACGTCATCTGCTTTTTAACGCAGATTGGCGGTGCGGGGGTGCAAGTCACCGGCGACGAGCATCTCATGAAAACGGGTATCAAAGCCGTCCTGGCAGGATTGATATTCTCTCTGGTAATCTTCCTATTGTTTGTGTGGGTTGCCATTGTGTTTCATTTGCGGTTGAGTCGCGAGCCAACGTGGGTGGTCAATGAGAATCCGTGGTTGATGGGCGGATGGAAGCGGTATATGTGGGCGTTGTATGTGGCGTGTGGGGCGTTGATGCTGAGAAACTTGGTCAGGACGGTGCAGTTTGGAGCCAATGAGACGTCCCCTTTGAACACTCAGGAGGTCTATATTTATGTCTTTGATGCCGCGTTGATGTTCGTTTCTATGGCCGTGTTGGCGGTTTATCATCCGGGAACGATGATTAAGAGGGCGAGAAGGACCAAGGAGGCGGCGGAGTATTGCCAGCCCATGGCGGATATTGGTGATGAGGAGGGGGGGAAATGATGTTTTCCCGGTGCTTTATTTCGTTATAATTTCTTTTGTTTTTGGGTTATCGCAGTACATAGTATGTTTGTGAAGGTTTTGTGAAATTTTTTTGAGTTGATTCGTTGTCCAAATGTTCATATGTGCATAGGAAGTATGCGGTCTGCTATTATTGAACTATTACAGTATGGAAGTGCTATGTGTAGGTACTCCCCCTTCAATCACCTGGATCGGCCACGCAAGCCATTGCTGGTCTTCCTCTCCCAAGGATGTGCGCACTCCATGCAGCACATGCGCATCCCATCCCTGCATTAGCCACGACGACCGCTGATACACCAACAAGATACTCCAATGCCCAAAGAGAATCAATGCGTATCGGTCCTTCTGCTCCAAAAGAGAGATCATCTCCGCCCGTAGACGGTACACCCACCCCACCACCAGATGCATCAGGCAGATGCCATCCTTCCCAGCGCTGCGCATCTTATACACTTCCTCGAATGCCGAGAGTAGATCATTTATGGCAGCTGCGAACAAGCTTCGGGACGTTTCATCGGTCACATGAGACATGATAAAAGCCTGGACTTGTTGGACCTGTTGCAGATGCTGGTCCAGTTCTGCCTGCAACTCATCACTCACACCGCCGATACTATCGTCCGGAATCGGTTCTAGAACACCGGTGAAGACGCGATCATGATTTTGCGATAGAATAGAATGCACGCCATGCAACAAGATGAGCCACTCGGATCGGCCGATGTCACTAAACACCAGATATTCGCCGCGACGGGGCCCGCGACCGAAATACACCAGGCAGATGAGGGCCGCAGACATGTAGATGAGCTGACAATTTTCCGTATTCAGAAGGCACAGTACAGCAGATACCGATCGGACCCCAAAAGTGAAGTGATCGTCAGCTTGAGCGATGAACTGCGTGCGCGAAGCGGGATCTTCATGCGCCAAATGCAGCGCCGACAACGCCAGAATTAGATGCATGATAGAGGGGAACGAGATGCCCCATTGTGGAACGTGATGGGACCAGACGCGTTTGTGGTCCATTTCCTCGTCTGCAAGAGTTTTGTAGGTTGAGGTCACAAAATGGTGATAGAGCTTCAGGTCGGCAAACGAGATGCCACCGGACAGGGCACTTCCAGCGAGATCACATTGCACTCCAGTGGATGCGGATGCAGCTGAGCTTGTTACAGCTTCTGTGCGGGTGCTGGGTGATGATGTTCTTGAACCGGGTTGATATTTGGATGGTCGAAACCGGAATCGGCGGGTTGGATCGGGGGAGGTCGAGGCGGCTGGGGAAGCAAAATCACATTCGATCGAGTGTCGCACACATTTTGTACAATGTGGCTTTTTCTCATCACACTGGCGAAGATCAGTATGACCAGAGAGAGGGGTATATGAGGCAGATCTGGGAATGAAGCAAGCCAAGGCACGTAAGATAGACGACAACATTGTGCCTAGTGATGCTGTATACTAGTGATAGGAGGGGAGTAATATATAGTACAGTGGAGGGTTGACAGTGTTCGTCCGGTTTCCATCCGACGGAAGCAGTGGGAGGCCTACCTTGACACGCCGTTTTTTACAATTCTGACATCCTGCGCGGGATTTATTGTGTGATCTCCGCGAGCGAATCTGCATAGGCAGCTGGTCGTTCATGGTTGGCGTGGAGGATTAAGATCATCGTATTCGTTCTGAATTTGCCCCCTTGGGGATCGGCTCCTGAGGCACTTGTGATCACGTGAAGTCGGCAGAAAATTTTCGCCAGCCCAAACCTTCTTTCTAAACGTTCCAGAGGTAACAACAAGCGTCGGTTTCTTGGATCAGAAGTCCCCGCAGGGAAAGCCTTTCCTGGCGTCTTTGGTCGGCCACAGATGCAGCCCGAAGGAGGGTCATATAGCCTGAGTGTACACCGTCCCTGTCCCCTTAATTAAGGTTCTGGCATCGATCGGTGCCTAAAAATAGAGGCCGACGGATCAACGACCAAGAATGGCGGATGCCTACATTGTGCCCTGAACCAGTAGGACCACAGTTTCATTAGTTTCATGGACCCCCTTGGCTTGAATCCCCTCACGCGTCTCGGATTGCCGATCTCTTCTCCAAACCCAGTATCTTGTGTATCTTATCTCACACAAGCACCGTTAGCCCACCGGCCAATCAGAGCGTATCAGGGCCTTGTGGCGCCCGCAACCCCTCATGCAGGCAGATAATACTAAACTACGACCTAAACTAGTACCATCTAGACTAGATAGAAGCCACCTATCGTAGTCTTCACTAGCAAACATATATTCTTGACTGCCCCTCGTTATTCAACACTCTGTCCGCTAGTGTTCTTATCCTTGTCTTCTACTCCCAGGTTCTTTCGAAAGACAAACCAGCGGAATTATAACACCATGGGAAACCACATCTCCTACCAAACATCCGAGTGTGAGATCCCATTGCCGGGAACAAGTGGCTGTGTCAAAGGCCTGCAAAATGGCACACAGTCGAGACGCTTCGCCGGAATTCCATACGCCCAACCCCCGGTCGGCGACTTGAGATGGCGAAAACCTCAACCCTACCCTTTGCAACAGCTCACCGCAGGCCAGCCCGGGGATACTTATGATGCGACGCGATTTGGCCCCGTCTGCCCGCAGCCTAATTACTCCAAAGCCGTCAGTTCCCATGGTGGACCTAAACACACCTATCATGAAGATTGTTTACGCCTCAATATCTGGACACCCGTTCCTGACCCCCAAGTGCGCAATCCCAGGTGGCCTGTCGTCATCTGGTTTCATGGGGGTTGGTTCCAAATTGGCGACCCCAGCCAGGAGCCGGGAATGGACCCCACAGAACTTATCTCCACTGCACAGTTAAACGCCATCTTCATCGCAGTGGGCTACCGATTGAATGTCTTTGGCTTTCTGGCAGGCGAGGCACTGCGAGAGGAGTCAGCTGGCCAAGAAGTCGGAAACTATGGTCTTTGGGACCAGCGACTCGCCCTGGAATGGGTGTACCAGAATATTGCTGCCTTTGGGGGCGACCCGGAGAACATCACAATCTCGGGTCGCAGTGCTGGCGCTTATGCGGTTCAAGCTCAAGTTCTGTATGACTTCCGGGGCGAGATGGAGGAAGCTATGCGCAACAAGTTCCGTAGACTGTACATGCACTCAAACGCGATTCCGTCCCAGCCCAAGACAGTACAGGATTGTGAGCCACAGTTCGATGAACTGTGTCAGCACTTTGGCATTTCAGCAGACCTGAAAGGGGCAGAGAAGTTGAAGAAGCTGCGAGCCATCAGTGCAACGGACTTGTGTGATGCGATCATGAAACTCAAACACCACACCTTCCGACCGGTCACGGATGGTGTCTTCACCCATCCAGGCGTCTTTGACTATTATCGCAATGGATCTTTCGCCGCCGAGTTCAAGAGGCGTGGCCTGCGGTTGTTTATTGGAGAAGTCCGAGATGAAAACACACTGTATGCCGTGACGAACGGCCCGGAGGCCAATCTGGAATCATTGAAACTGCAAGTGTCGAATTATTATTCTCCTGCCACAACAGACCGTTTACTACGCCATTATGTCCTACCAGATTCCACAGACAAGCAGGAATGGCAATCTGTATTCGGACAAATCATCGCCGACGGGCAGGTCCGAGCGCCCTACAGGTTTCTGGTGAACAATCTCCTGGAGCACGGGGTGGATCTCAAGGATGTCTGGCGGTATCTCATCGCATACCGCTTGTCGTTCATCACTGAAAAGGTAGCGCCAGCATCTTTTGGAGTGAGCCACAGCATGGACAGACCCATTTGGAAGTAAGCAAGCCTGCCCTACCTGACTACAGACAGTACTGACAATAACCAGTTACTCAATCATGCATGGACCCAGTCCTGCAGAGCGCGTCTTGATGGACGCCTGGATCCGAGATCTAGTGGCCTTTGTGAACGACCAGCCTGACTATGACTATGGTACACGGTCGGCAGATGAGTATAAGGTGATGACTCCGGAGGGCAAGATTGAGGTTCAAAAGGACGGCCGATGGGATAGTCTGTTGCAGCTGATGGATGTGTTTTCGGGACGTTCGGAGACTTGATAGGGCATTCCTGGGAATGGGGAGAACACGTAAACTTTCAGACATTTTAAGCAACAGAAGTAAAGCAAGCACTATGCGATACTTCTGATAACTAGCTAAAATAAATTAGTGTCCACTGATCAGCTCTCGTAGTCATGTGCCGGCGTTCGGCTAAGCCGTCAGCCTCGCCATCCCTCACGCTTTCCCTTCTTCTTGACAACCATCCGGCTTTTATGCAACGGCACAGCTTGAGGCCAGGCTCATGCGTGAAAGATGGGTCGAAGCACCTGGAGGGCTCAAAGCTGCCGGACTTGTCTGATGCGCAAGCTCAAGGTGCGATGAATTTTGTTGATCAGCCGAATCAATTGGTGCTGATGCCTTACTTTCCGGGCGCACTAGTGCGACAAGACCCGGCCAGCTTGTATGCGATGTCAATCCTCAGCCCGCGATTGTGGAGGTTACTCTGACCTGTGAGTTACTACTCGGTATCTGACCTGGAGGACAGTTTTGTTGACTGAATTTAGGAGTCGCGCTCCTTTATGGGACACCACCATTGTTGGATTGAACAATCGATCCTTGATAGTGGCCCAGAACCAGGAGCAGTTGGTCTCGATCTTCCTGCGCGACTACTTACCCGCAGAGGCTCCAGACCCGAAGGACCAGTCGCCTATTCACTGGGTAAAACTATTTCCTTCCTTCAGTCAGTCCGTGTTGCCAGTCGTCAGGACAGCCCTCACTGCATTGACACTTGCACATGTGGCCTCCTTGCGAAAAGATCACAACCTGGCACAATACAGCAGACACCATTACGTGCAAGCGATACAGCAAATATGTACACTAACAGATATAGACTACGTCTCTGATCTCGTCCGCTCTGCCATGATCCTTGCACTCTACGAGGTCTGTGCACAATCGTCAGGACAGGAAGATGCATGGAGTGTCCACGTCCAGGCAGCCGGCAAGTTAGCTAGTGAATCCAACTTTGCAACGGAGTTGCTCAACACGCAGGATCTGCGCCGACTCCGTACTATTGAGGTAGGCTCATCTTATTCCTGATTGACGCATCTGACAAGCCGGGCCCCCAGTTTCTTCTCATGTGTACCAATGTCAAGCATGAGCCTTCTTTGTCCTTACTCTCGCATATCGAACCGTCAACCAATAGATTCGACATACTTCTTGATATGCTGTACAAGTTAGGCCAATTACACAGGCACACCCAAAATGAGCTTCATCGCAATAAGACCACATGCGACTCTGCGATACACTTGATGAAAGTGTTAATCGGCCTCGAGCAAAATCTCTTGAGTTGGTATCACGAGTGGCAGTCGGAATGTCGCCACCCTATGTTTATGATCGTGCCGCCCACAGCGGGGCCCATGCCTACACCGTGTGGCAAACCGGAAGAGAGAATGGTTATACCCAATACTGATGATATACCGCCGTTATTATTTTACTGGTTGGGATTGACAATAATTTATGCTACGATAGCCAAGGTAATGCGAGGAATGCCTGATTCTCAGTATATACCCGCGACGATGTTGGAGCGACGTCTGGCGAAGGCTACCGGTCTCTGCCATCGCTTCGTTGACCGCATATCACAGTGCCAGGTCGGATGCGCAGGCAAGGGGCTGGGGACTACTATACTGGCAGCGGCAGTACTTCAAGCAGCACAGAAAATACATTCACGAGTGTAACAGAAGCTTCCTTCACTTACGATGCCAAGCAAGACAACTAAGCCACCCTATCCACATTTTACCACCTATACATCTCACAGCGGGACACCTTGGAACGAACAAGATGGATTCGGTCAGCGTACGGTGTTTATATGATAGGAAGCATTCAGTATTCGAATTTCTGGCCAACGATCTCCTCGCTCAGCTTCCACAGCTTTTCCGCATTTTTCGGGTCCAGAGCGTAGTCGACCGCCTCGCCGTTATTTACTTGGTTATTGACCATGTACGAACCATTTTTGTCTGCAATCTATCAACATCTACCCCTCAGTATTGGTGCAGCGTGCTTACCAGAAATGCTTGGATCATATGCCGCAACAATCAAGGTAGCAGCTCCCTGGCTGGCTGTTCTCCAGTTCAGCTTTGGGTCATCGTTGATGCTCCCATCCTCATGTTTCCATCCTTATGTTCAGGTTAGCATCCTTCACTACCAAACAATGTCTGTCACGTCGGAATTCTACATACCAGCCATGACCCATTCTTCTGGCTTCAAATGTCTTCCAATGCCAGTCTCCCGTCGTCCAGGATAGAGACTGAATGACTCCACCCCTTTCTCCCCTACTTTTTCCGCCAGTGATACCGACAAGAGCATATTGGCTGTTTTACTTTGGCCGTATGCTTGCCATTTGTCGTAGCACTTCCCGTTCTAGCTGAGTGTTAGCCAAGGTTTCCTTCATCAGTTCATATACGAGGGGTGATCATTTTTGGGACAACACAAACCTCAAATTTCACATCGTCGAACCTGACAGGTCCACGCTTATGGCCGGCACTACTGACATTCACCACTCGAACCTTTGACTCTGCGCTCATCATTCTCCCCAAGAGCAGGTTGGTAAAGAGAAAGTGGCCAATGTGGTTTGTTCCAAACTGCAGTTCCACTCCATCTGCGGTGGTTGTGTACGATGTCGCCATGATGCCTGCGTTGTTGATGAGATGATCGATGCGCTCCGGATAGTTGTTCACCTCTGCAGCTGCCTTGCGGACACTTCTTTGCGAGCTGAGGTCTAGAATGAGAAGACGAGTATTTGCATCCGGTGTCTCGGCTTTGATGGCAATCTCGGTAGCCTGGAGAGTCTGCAGGTTGCGACCGGCCAGGACCAGGAGAGCCGGCTGGTGACGGGAAAGTTGAAGAGCTGCCTCGCCGCCTACACTGCCCAGTGTGACACCAGTAACTAGGACTGAGAGAGTTAGATTCTCCCTTAATTTGAAAAATCGAGGAGGGATAGTTGGACATACCTTTGCTCCCTTTAATGTGGTCCGCCAGGACTTGGCAGACTTCTTCACTGGTGGACTGTGCGGAAAAGAACGACATTTCAACAATGATTCTGATGCTTGTTGCCTGGAGAAGATGAGAATTTGCTGTGCCATTGTGACGTCTTAAGTAGTTGTCCGACAGTCTGCAGCCCGGAGTTAGCTATAGTCCCGATGCTATGATGCTGTAATGCTTAACATGCTGCAGCGGCGCCACAAGACGCTAACCCACATCCGCCAATGATAATGCGTTTATCACCGAGACCCCTTGTTGGCAGCCACGGCGCTAACGGAGAGGATGCCGAGAGTCAAGTCGATGCCCAGACCAGCCACACAAATGATACTATTGATGGACCTTTCTGAGGAAACCTTTTCATATGGCCCGAGCGGGTTCCTATACCGACTCAGCCTTCTAGTCTAGTTAGAGCAAAGTCATCAGGATTAACGCTGCTGTATATTCAAATTCATAACCCGGAGGCTGTCCTAGTAAATGACACCATTCATGGGCGACTTATACTATATATAAGAGACCGATAAACTTGGAACGTGGACTACTCAGCGAACTCAAAACAAGCAAACAAAATCGACAGAAGACAAATCCGCACAATACCAGACAGTCTGTATATACAAAGCAAAAGTCCCAAATATAAAACCTCAAACATCACCCTAGTCCACCACCGTCGTCCGGGTAGTATCCCAAAACTCATCCGCTAAATGCGCCATAGGCCGTTCACTCATCCTAGCAAAGTAATCCGAGACTCTAGGTCTCCTCTCATCATCAAAGAACCACGGCCAGCGATCCGCATGCGCAACCACCATTCCAAAGAGATACACATCGGCGGCGCAGAACTTCCCAAGGAGATACTCCAACCCTTCCAAATTCTCCTCCACCTGGTCCAGCGTCATCTCGATCCTCTCCTGCAGGGCCCTCCTCCGACCCGGCACCGGCGCATACCCAGTGACTTCTTCACCAGTCTTATTCCCCAAGTAATGATTATTCCACTCATACAGCGGCTCAACCACATCTCGCCGCAGACAGTGAATGCACGAGCGTATCAACGCCCGCTCCTGCTCCGTATTCCCATATAGGTAGCGATCCGTGGGCGACACGCTATCTATGTACTCGGTGATGGCTTCGAAGCCGACAACTTTGCGCACGGGTCTACGCGTCGGATTGTCTAGGAAGAGCATGGGTAGCTCGCCGGCATGGTCTTGTTCCCAGATGAAGGAGGGTAGGATCTGGTCTTTGAGTTGGACGTCGATGAAGCCGGCGCGGAGGCGGACACCGCCGCGTTCGTGGATGAAGTAGCGGATTGCCAGGCCGGCGGCGGTGTCGCCGTCGAGGATGTAGAGTTTGGGGTAGTTGTTTCGAGGGATGGGTGGGGGAGGTGGTGGTGGGTGTGAGGGTTGCTGTGGGGGTGGGGAGAGGGGACGTGGGGTGATTGATTGGGGTGGACTGGGCGGGGGAGAGGAGGAGGCGTCACTTTGGCAGTAGTCGATGGTAGGGGAGACGCAGAAGGGAACGGATGGGTGGGTGTATAGGGAAGTTGGGATGTAAGGGTAGGGGGTGGAGTAGGGCATGGAGTGGGAACGCGTTCGGGGCATGGTGGCTGTTGATTGGGTAAGAGCTGTGCAGGAGTGCAGGGATGTTGCATGTACTTGATTGGAAGGGTTACACAGAGTCGTCTTATATGTTAAAAGGGATGGATGGAAGTTGTACGCAAGTTGCCCGAAGGAAAGGGAAATGCCTACGGAGTGAGACATGGCATATGCTATAGGGGAAGATTTTGCTTGGTGTTGGTCAGGAGGCTGTTGGCTAGCAGCGTCTAAGCCATCATGTGTAGGGGATATGGTGATACATGCTATCGTAGGGAAGTGGTTTCTTTGATATGCTGCTGTGCTCTCCGATAGGTCGCATTTCTTTGTAGGCATTTGTCCGGGTACTGCCTTCAGACATAGTTACAGTATACGATCTTGCGTTCCTCTTTGTGTGTACATAGACTGACATTCTGCAGTATGTCTCACTGTTAGAAAGTGTGATATTCATATATGGATGAAGACTCGCTGTCGACGGCCATATCCATACCCATGTAGCACAGAACACTCATTGCCTACTCACCAGAGAACATAACCAGTAGTTAGGTTTTATTGTCGCATAACAAGCACGATAATCATTGATTGACAGGACTTTAGAAACACGGAGAAGTCCGGCTCCAAACTGCTATCGGCAGACAGACATGACTATATAAACTCTCCCGAATATAGCTTCTGTCTTATGTGGAAATCAACACTTATTTCGTATATCGATCACTCTCAGTTCATATTCATCGACGCACCCATTCTAATCATCTGCTGCCTAAGTAAGGTTCCAATCTCATTGACATGTCAATCAATTTCCTCAGCTAACACATTGACAGCTTCCGACAACATGCCTGGCGTCCCACCGAGCTTCTCGGCGAAAGTTTGGGCGATGACTTGGAATCATGGCCTGGCAATCAGGGCCTGTAATGACCGGGACGATGGAGCCGACTGGTATAAGGCCATCCTCGTAGGCCCCGAAGGACAAGAGGTGCAGCTTTTCCAAGCTAGGCTCATTGAGAATCTGAATTCGGATATTGAAAGCTACCTTGACAATTACGAAAGTAAGTCTCTATTGTAAAGTGGTCTGACCATGCTGATGTTTCGCAGAAAAAGCAGAAGAGAAGGAAAGAGAAGCAAAACAGAGTTTAGGCTCCAAGATCATGGATGTTTTGCGTCGCTGAGCGTCATGTCAATTATTGGACTATAAGTTTAGTCCGTCTATCGGCAAAAGAATATCAACAGTAGTCTTGCGTCTATCATACATTGTGATCGCTTATCAAAGTCTATCAACTGTCTATATGCATATCGTACTCTATGTAACTAGAAATCCACACTCTTAAACACCACAACAATCAATCACCCAGATGATTCATGCATCCCTACTTTGCCTCCTCAGGGAGGACAAAGTGCAACACGCCGTTCTTCTTGCCATCCGAAACGTAGATGCACTTGCGGAACGTAGTCATGAGCGAGTACAAGAAGCTGCTCTCCTTCTCCTCGTGGTAGTTAGCTCCCAGGAGCGGCTGGATAGCACGGGTAGCCTCCTCGGCCTTGTAGAAGGGGATACGGCTGAACAGGTGGTGCACAACATGGTAGTCGATGATTTCGTGGAAGAAGTGGCGGCCGATGAAGCCGATGCTCCGGTCAATGGTGGCAAGGGCACCCTTGGTGTAGGTCCACGATTCTGCGGAGTAGTGGGGGACAGCGGGGTGGGTGTGCTGCAGGTAGGTGATTGCGACTGTTTTATGTGTTAGTTTTGCCTCTTTGACAATCTCTGAAGAGAAGGGGAAGACATACTCAGCCAGTGATGCACCCACAGATAGGGAACAAAATACAAAAGGGCGACATTCCATGCGCCAATCTGCGTCGAGGCGTAGTACAGAATTGAACCCATGATAAGCAGACCCAAATCAGTCAGGGCAATGCTGAAGTACTGCGACCTAGTAAAAAGGTCGCCGACGGGGTTGAAGTGGCTGGCCACGCCACGGATCGGACGATTTTCGGGCAGACTCTTGGGACCGGCGGTGACATTCAGGAAGAGGTACAGCTGCCATCCGAAGAGCTGGTGGCCGATGAGTTGCAGGAAGGAGACGATGGGTGTTTCTTCGGTCAGATGCTTAAGCTGCTCGATGCGGACGTTCTTCTTCTTGGCCAGCTCGTCGTCAGTCCAGGGGACAAAGACGGTGTCCTTCTCCATGTGGCCGGTGTAGCGGTGGTGGCGCGCATGGGTGATCTTCCAGGAGAAGTAGGGGACCATCAGGAAGGAGTGGGCGGCCCAGCCGACAATGTCGTTGAAGGTCTGGTGCTTGGAGAAGGCACCATGACCGCATTCATGAGCCAGAATCCATATTCCGGTGCCGACACAGCCCTGGAAGAAGCCGTAGACAGCCCAGGCGAGGGCGCGCAGGGGCAGAGAGGGGAGGAGGTGGATGTGGAAGGCGCCGTAGGCGAGGATGGCGCAGTAGAGGATGTCGCGGGCGAGATAGAGGAGGGAGGTGACGACGGAGGAATCGAAGCATTCTTCAGGAATGGCATCCTTCAGGGTCTTCAGACTGGGAACATTGTCGTCATTGTGAATGGGCTGCTGCTGCTATCAAAGTAAAAACAGAGCTGTTAGCCAATTAGGGCTTTTCAAAGGGGGGGGGGGGGTGCTGAAGAAAGGGATAGACATACCGCCGCCTGGCTGGCAGGCACTTTACGAAGTTCAGCCATGATTCGAAGACTCGCACAGAGAGGGAGGAAACAAACAAAGAAGCAGCGTCAGACACTGCGACTCTTGTACGATTGGGGATCTAAATTTTCCTTGTGAAAGACACAGGGTCTCTCCTGACTTACGCAGCCATTGTCCAATCAGGGGAACGCAGTTCCTGAAGTCTTTTGATTTTGGAGAGATGGACCCATGGTAGCCACGCTATTGGCATTAACCTCTTTCCCATTATTACAAAGTACTATTTTCTGCGACAAGTCCAGCTAATCTGAACTCAAAGGATCAGCGTTAGACAAGGGGGGCTAGCGGCGTGCGGAAAACGGACAAAGTCGAGGCCAGTTTCCACGGATCCGCCCGTTCGCAGTGGGGGGAATTCCCAACAAAAACAACCAAACACAGCATTGTCTGGTGGTGGAACACATTGGCTGAAGAATTTTGAAAAAATCAAGGAAAAGTGATTATTGAGCATTGATTATCAGCCTCTACCATCAAGATAATCATCCACGCCGTTGCAAGATCCCCGGGCGAGTTGAACTCCCTGACACCTGCAAGATGCAGATGCACCGTCAATCCCCACGGGTTGATCCCTCGCCGACTACAGTCTAGTCTCGCTTCTTCGGCCGATGGTTCGGCGCTTAGTCTGTTCTGGAACAAATTTAAACTTCAACGCTTTCCACCTTCTCAACGTTTTCGCCTCGCGACTCTTAGCGGCGCAGTTTTTTCTCCCTTCGCTTGCGACGACTTGCTTAGGGCTTTTCTCAGACACGGGATGGTGAAACTCGAACAATTGGTCCACAACAAATAGCAACGCTGTTTAGCAGGCGTTTTAACCTGGATGATGATTTATCCAAGAGCATTCTTATAGACAGGTCGGACAGCTTAACTGCCGAATCACGCTGTCAAAGACAGAAATCGGTGGAGCCATGCTTCATCGCCCTCCCGTTCGACGTCGCCAAGATCAGCATTGCCGCTCAGGATTTCGCACAGTCGCTGCTTCGTCAGAGACATTGTAAAACTCGTCTCTCCATGAATAGCCGCCCGATCGGAGGTTTTTCTGCTGGTTAAGACACCGTTGCTAACCATCAGTCTCCACCATTGCTTCTCATCTGTCACATGCACATCCAGGGTAAATGCCTCGCTCGCCGCGGCTGGCCCATTCAGCCGGACCGACAACAGAGTTAACCACTGCTCCACCGACTGGCGCGGGTTCAACTGGCGACTCTGGGTCCTCGACGGTAGTTTATTTGCATTTGGCTGCTGGTGCTCCCCGCGCAAGTCGCGCGCCGCGGAGAGGTAGAAATTCCGCCAGGTCGCGTTCTCCGCTCCGAACCCTAACTGCTCGAACACCGACGCCAGCGTGCGTCGAGCCTGTTCATGCTTTGCATCAAATGCAACTGCATGTCCCAGCAGTGTCGCGGCGAAACGGAGATCCCCGTCTTGGGCGAACCCTTCCGCCTTCCGGACCACTTCATCAATCCCGCCCATACAGGCAATATACCTCTTTGCGTTCTCGGCGGGTGGATATTCCCATAGATGTGCTGGGTTCCCGTCGAACCATCCCATGTAGCGCTGATAGATTCCCTTGACATTGTGACTGACCGATCCGTAGAACCCCTGAGCATGCCAAGCAGTCTGCAGCGCCGGCGGAAGGGTCAGGGTCTCGGCGATCTCAATTCCAGTGAGACCCTGGTTCATCATCCGCACGGTCTGGTCATGTAGATAGGCATACAGATCTCGTTGTTCGGACAGCAACTGTTCGATGTGTTGAGAGCCCCAGTTTGGCCAATTATGGCCTGCAAATAACACCTTCGACTGCTGGCCGAACAAAACCAGCGACTCATCCAAATACCGCGCCCAGGCTTTTGCATCGCGCACCAGAGCCCCGCGCAGCGTAATGATATTATGCAAGCTGTGTGTTGCACACTCGGCAATGTACAACGCACGAGGATCAGGGAAGAAGAAGTTCATCTCCGCGGGCGCCTCTGTCTCGGGCACGAGTTGGAATTGTATCCGGACGCCATCTATTATTCGTTCTTCGCCAGTCGAAGTGACAATCGTGTTTGGAGGCACAAATGAGTTTGTTCCCAACGACACGGTCATGCCAATGCCGCAGCCAATTTGCCCGTCGGCAGCCTTGGGTAGCTGAGCTCCGTACATGTATTGGGCGCGACGACGCATGGCCGGACCGACGTACATGTTCTCACTCAGGGCTTCTTCTACAAATCCCTCCGGTGCGACGATCGGGATGGGACTCGCTTTTATTGCGTCAGCGGCAGGGAGCACGCCCTGCGCTCCGCCAAAGTGATCTATATGGGAA